TCTGGTCGTATCCAGGTCGAAACAGCGGCCGTGGTCGTGTCTGGAGCGATTCACACTGACGTCATGGGCTCTGGGAAGTTGGCAGTTGTGGCCAACACTGTAGCTGCAAGCTACGTCGACTTGAACGGCTGTGGGTCGGGCCATACGTTTGTCGCCGTGAAGACGAATGCCAACATTACCGACGACATCAAGGTCCACATGAACTCGTCGGGTAGCGTAAGCGTCATGTCGGATGCGATGAGGACGGGCAGACTTTGCAGCCACGTGGCGGGCTCCGGGTCGGTCGAGATCAACACGCTGAGCCAGTTTTTCGCCGGAGAGATCGAGTCCCAAGTCACGGGGTCGGGCACTCTCCAGGTCGTGGGCCAGGGGACGACAGAGCGCCACCACATAACCATCACGGGATCGGGCACGTTGAATGCCTCCATCTCCGCGACATCGTCCGACGTCTACATCACGGGCAGTGGATGCGCCAACTTGAACGACTTGCACGGCGTTTCGTCGAAAGTCGCTGGGTCAGGGAGCATCCAGCGCCTGACCCTTGTGCGCTTGGACCCGCCGTACGACGTCATGGCCTTGCCGGTGCCGGCACCAACTTCCGTCGCCGAGTGGACGTCGCCCGGAAATTGGCTCAAGAAGGCCATCTTTGGTTGATCGCGTGCTTCGGTGTAATTCATCCTTCAATGTACTCGTCTGCGCATCGTCTTTGAAAAGGACTTCAAGGCCGCCCGTCTTCTGGCGGCGCTGCTCTGGTCAGGGCTGACTGCAGGTTAGTCCGACTGCAGGTTAGACGGAGGCGACACGTTCGCGACGAGTGCACCGTGCGGCGCACCGATCGATCGTCCGCGACGAGTCCAACCGAAGCAGCCGCCGACCCAGCACAAACCCCAATTGGAAATGTCAGCCGAGAGGCGTGTATGGCGTATGAATTCATCAAGCCGTGCTGCAGCCAGAAGGTCCGACCAGGCCGCGTCCCCAACGACGACGCCGTTTTAACAGGACGCCGCACTGTCATGCGCGGCTGCGTGCACGCACATCCCCTGCAGCCTCGAGGAATCTTCCACCCACCGCACGTTTTTGTCACGCCGGCCGAGGCGTGTGCGATCGTTTTGCCGTCAACATGGACAAGGGAACCCGGCTTGGTCGTTCACATTCCCAATTTCTGCCATGCCCGCAAGCCCGTGGTTCCGTCGTGAGTACGACTCGTTGGCAGTCATCTCGCGCCTCGTGCTCGAGGTCGGGAACGTGTCTGTGGTTGCGACGAGCGACGACATCAAGACGACATCGGTTGTGCTCCACAGCGAGTCTGCGGCGGCCGCAGAATCGTTCCGGGTCCAGGAAGACGGCCACGAGCTCGCCGTCAAGTGGGAAGAAGACCACCCCGTCGATCCTTCCAGTGACTACTCGATCGAAATCCACATGCCGCGCGAATCCATCGACGCCGTCGCGTTTTCGGGTGCAGGGACCGTCTCCGTTCACCCAAACACTCTGCGGCGCAGCGTCGACGCCAACCTAACGATTGCATCAACCGGGCCTGGCTCGCTGCTCGTGGACGACACAGACATCCGAGCTGGCAGCCTGCACTTGCGCCAAGGAGGTGCCGGGGTGCTCCAGCTCACTTGCCACGATTTTGTCGTCGCGTACGAGGTGGATGTGCAAACGACGTCCACGGGGTCCACCGTGATGCATGCGTCATCAAGCGTGTCGGCGAGCCAAGTGACCTTGACAGGCTCGGCTGGCTACACAACTGTCCAAGTAAACGGCCCTGTGAAAGTGACCGACTTCATCGACCTGCGTGCCAGCAAGGCTGGCCGCGTTGCACTCGTCACTCAGGACTCGACGACGCATCATCTTGCCATGACAACAACCGGGAATGGCGCTGTCACGGTCAACGGAACCATGCATGCGCACTCGGTGGTGGTTCGCGGTAGAGGTAGGCATGCTGCGTAGCCGTCTGTTCACTGGATCGACCATGTGCTGAGACTGCGGCGGTAGGCGATGGCAGCGTACGCGTGTGCGGCGCGGATGGGTCGTGCCATGCGCTGGAAATGGATGTGGCTGGAAACAGTTGCGCCAGCGTCGAGATGGCTGCGACTTTGTGCAGCGTCGCCATCGACGGCCGCAGCCACGTCTCGCTGTGCAAAGGGCAAGTTGTCACGAGCAAAACCATTCTTGGCGACGCGCAGCTCAAGACGCTAGACGAATGCGCACCGCACGACCACGCCACAATGGAGCTTGTGCCATTTGCGGCAACCAAGAAAACCGACGACGAACTGGAACGGTGACCCCAGCGTACGCTCCAGAATATACCAGTACGTCCTTCGATCGAAGCAGTCCCAGTACAAGTGTCGATACAGCATCTCGTGCTCCACGATGCTCTGCTTGACATTGTGACGAGGTGGCAGCATGATACGTTGTTCAAACACAATGACGACAGACAGTGCGTGGACGCTGGGATGGACGGCCAACTCTGCAGCTCGTGGCACGCTTTTCCAGTCGGCGAGAGCAATCGCCCATGCGCTCGCAGGGTCGTATGCACAAGCAAAATCGAAGCAGGTGCAGCAATTTCCAACGAATGTTCACAATGCGGGTCGGTTGGACGGGCAATGAAGGACATGCGAGTCCCACACAACGGGGGCTCTCTCTTAAATCCGATGCCAGTCTGAATGTGGTTGGGGTGACCGAATGACTCGAGGCGGCGCATGGCGATGATAGACGGTATGCGAACGCTCCATGGCACACCGCTGCATGTGTATCCACACACTTTGCGCGGCAGAGTACAGACGTCACGGCATCCCGAGCCGGCATGGCCGCTTCCCCTTTCACGGTCGGGATGGTGGAATGCACGTTGCGAAGACAGACGAACGTGTACAATGAGCAGAGCATGTGTACCTCCCATGCATGCGACACATGCGCTGGTTCGACTTCCCGCCAACCCGCTGTACCCATCGAATTGTTCCTTTTGTCGTCGCGCCACGGTGGTCGATGGTTGCGACTTCGCACACCGCCTCGTCCGTCCATCGCGCCTTGGGACGCTCTCCACCACCCACGTGGTTGGCACCGCTTCGTCGGCATGTCTCTCGCCAGAGATATGTCGCTCCATGGTGGCCCCTCTCCTCGGGTTCCAAGTTGAAGTTGCTAGCACGTCCCAGATACACGTACACAACGCACCATGCCGAATCTAGCAACGCTAACATCTAATCTAGGCTTTCCGTACAAACTGAAAGGTTCAAATTGCCGATTCCAACATGCCGATTCGGCACATGTCTCGCGTTCGGGGAGACACGCAGTGGCGTGTCTGCTGTATCCGGAACCGGATAAGATCGCCCGCTGATTGGTGGAGCGACACCCTCCTTCGAATTATCTCTCTCATGCCGACCAGAACCATTCTCAAACATGCACGAACACAGCTCTCGCGGTGTTCGTGGCGACGATCGTGGCGACCGTGGTCGTCGTGCGCGCAGCGAATGGCCACATAGACCCCTCTCCTCACTTCGCGGAGGACCACCCAAATGTCACGTACCTCACGGACCACAATTTCAACAAACTCGTTGCCAAAGCTCCTCTCGACGCCAAACCGTGGATCATCGACTTTTACCATCCGTAGTACGTCAGCATGTTCGATGGCGCAAAGAGTGTAAAGGCGATCGAGTGGAACTTGATCGGTTTGTGTGTAGCTGCCCCCATTGCAAGCAGTTTGTACCTGTCTTCAATAAAGTTGCAGCGCACTACAAAGGACGCGACCTCATCAACGTCGGTGCGATCAGTTGCATGGACTGGGAACAATGCGCCATCTACAAGGTCAAGGGGTTTCCCTCACTCAGCTTGTGGAATTTCGACAAGAACATGAACTTTGAAAACCGACGGGCGATCGGTGAACACACATTTGACGAAGTGCTCGGCTTGGTACAATTGGAGACATCCCTTCCATCCTCGCGCTCATCCGCACTGCGGTCTGTAGGTCGCGGAAATGTTTCGCGAACAAGTGTTCAATGAGACGGGGGAATGGCCGGCAGAAGGCACGACGACGGCGCCGCCACCCGTTAAAGCCACAACCACTCTGCGCCCGTTGTGGGAAGAGTCCACACTGCCGTCGAACGCGACGACGCGTGTACTGGACGCCGCGTCCGCGTTTGTCTTTGGTATGCGGGAGAGTGTATTCACCGGGCGGAAAACTCTCGAAGACGACGAGTTGGACGCACTCAAGGAGTGGCTACATATTGTGTCGCTGACGTTTCCAGGGGAAGCGTACCGCCAATTGGTACGCCACCGGAACGACTTGCAATTCCGTCATGAATCGATCTGTTGTAGCTGTCAAACTTGTACAAGCAAGTGGCCAGCGTCTCGCTGCTCACGAAAGACAAGTGGAACGGCATCTTCCAGGGATGGCAGGACCACACTTCGTTGCTCCACGACGTCTACATCAAGTCGGTCCACGCGCCCGAGGAATGGGAGCTCCAACCGACGCTGTTTCAAGGACATGGAACCACATACTACGCGTGCGAGTTGTACACGTGCGGCCAATGGACCATGTTTCACTTGATGACGCTCATGGTCGGTCCTGCCGCCAGCGACGAGCTCGCGATATCTGTGGTCATGGCGATCCGTCGCTTTGTCCGGCACTTTCTCACGTGTCTTCCGTGCCGCAAGCACTTTTTGGCGTACAACACGCTCGAACTGGTCGAGAACCTCAGCAAGGAACCCAACAAACCCCGCGCGTTGTATCTGTGGCTGTGGAAGATGCACAACATTGCAAACAAGCGCATCCGCCATTACCAGTGGCCCAAGCCAGACAAGTGCGCCGCGTGCGGCGTCGAAGGTATGTTTCCTGCAGTGTGTGAATGGCACCAATTGCATGATCAACGGCTTTTCATGTTGTCCCGGTCGTCTGTAGACAAGTGGCACATGGAGCAAGTTGAGCACTGGCTCAAGAAAACGTACGGGTTTGAAGCGTTCAAGCCGAAGCCAGTCGTCACGGTGGCCCCGTCAACGACCGCACCGCCCGTTGTCCATGATGCCATGTCGGAGAGAGACAACTTGAACCACCAGCCACCGGTCGACGCGACGACAATTCCCGTCATCGGCCTTGCTAACCACGCGCACGGATGGCGCGAGCGCGTGAAGCAGCCCGAGATATCGGTCTATGCATGGTACCTCCTACCTGTGATGGCGTTCGTGGCATTTTTCGCCTTGCGCCACATGCGCTCGGCCCACCGCCACGGCACGCACTTCCGCGCCGTCTAGTGGATCTCGCTGTATGTAGACATGACAGATGAATTGTTCGAGTAATGATGCGTTTGCACTCTTTTGTCGGACCGGCGAGTGGCCAAGTACGACGTCATGACGACTGGGTCGACTTTGCTTCGTGTTCTTTCGATCAGGCCACGCCGATTTCTGTGCAGGTTCGGTCCCGAAATTCGAAGGTATGAGAACTGCATTGGCATGCCGACGTCGTCTTCGTCCATGCCACGTCGATTGGAGCAGCCACGTGCGAGCTGCGTTTGACTCTTATGCATTTGTTTGTGTTCCAGCACTGGTCGAATGCAGCAGCATCGCTGCGCTCGCGGTGTGACTTGGAGCACACGCCATGGCAACTTGGTCTGCATCGTGCGTCATGCACAGCTTTCACCGAGGTCTGAGCAGCTCCGCCATGATGTGTTATACAACGCGAACGTTGGGATGGAGTGGATTGGTCACACTCTTGTGGAGATACCTCCATGAAGCAAAACGGACGGCAGGGAACGACCCCGTCTCGCTTGAGCTTGAATGGATCGTCTTGCTGTGGAGAGTCCACGTCGGTACTGAGTCCCCACCGCGACGACGCAGTGGCAAGTGCGTCTCAAAACACGAACGACGACGTTCGAGGCCCCCCTCCGTTTGCGTCATCGATGCCCAGCAATCGAATGCCGGGTCACGTTCCCAGGTCCATGATGCAACGATATGTCTCTACTGGAGAATTGGTTATACTCGAGCGAGAAGCGCGTTCGCATGCGCTCCTCGTCTCACGTGACGAGATCGAAGGTCGAGTGGGGCGAGCATGTCTTGGGGAGCCCAAACTTGGCGTCGCGGCACCTGCGTTTGAGAAAACGCCGCAGTCAAGCCTGGGCATGGTGCTCAAACACGACTCGGTAGTCGTACGAGAGCTGAATCACGGCCGAGGGCGGTCGATGGGGGTTGTCGGGATCGTCTGGCAGCCCCAGCACTCTGTTGTCCAGCACCCATTCGATGGAATTGGGCGTCGGTTGCGCTTTGATCAAGTCGAGTAGCGGATACGGAACGTGCACGATGGTCCCAGTTAATCCTCTTGATCGTGTCAACGGCGATGGCGGCATCGCATGGATGAGGCGCAGTGGGTTCGCTGGGACGGCGGAGGTCACCATGTCAGACGCGTATGCGATGGGTGCATGTAATTTGAATGTTCCCTCCGACTGTTCATCTTGATCGCCTACGACAACTGGTCGTCATATCACAAAACGACGGTGCTTCGATTACCGAGGGTCGGCAAGACGAATTGGGTCAGTCGGTCGTACTCGTCGACGTCTTGGCATTGATACTCCACTCCATGCACTCCCCACGCCGGCGCGTTCTTGAGATACATCTTCTCCAAGAATCGTAGGTAGCATGGACCAGCCTTGGTCTCTGGATACAATGTCCGGAGACGACCGAACACATATGCGATAAATGGACCCACAGTTCCATCAAGGTACATAGCAAAGGATTCGGGAGTCCATGCGACTGCCTCGTTCAAGGATGGACTGGTGCATGGCCTGCTTTTGTCTCGAAAGTCGTGCATGGAGCGTCTCCCTCGCGGTCCATGTCGCCGTGCCCAACTCCTCAGCGCAGCTGCCATTGCCGTGATGTGATTGAGTGGAACACAACCGGACAAACCGCGGAAACCCAATATATTAAATTTCATAGGATTCACGCATATTTTGCGAATTCGGCCGACGTCCAAATATATACTATTGGGGGCAGGCCATCCCAGTTGAGCGCGGATGTGCGGATGACTATCGCGCAAAGCGCTCTCGAGGGTAGTCGACTGACCACTGCACTGTCCCAGCAGCACGAGGACTTCCCCAGTCTTCACCAACCCGGAGCCACTTGGGACAGTTTTGGCGACGCACGCTTGCGCGCGTCGGTTGGGAGCATCCATGTTCTCGCAACCTTCGTCGCAGTTGGAACGCGAGGAACGTGACGTCGCTATGCAGCAGTAGACTATTTATCTGAAGCTGATTCCCTCGGAATCCATGTGCAATGCGCGCTGATTGTTTGCATTCGAACCCTTGCAGCGCAGCACATCAGATACATCCTGAGTCAGGAAATTTTGTCGCCTTTTTGGTATCACCGAATTTTGTCTTCCGAAAACTCTAACATTTTGGGCAAAAATGCATTGTTTCACTCTGTTCTTTCCACATTTTTAGTACGCTCTGGAAAATTGATGGAATGTCATTTCGATGAATATACATATTTTGTAAAAGACGTTGACATTTGATACGAACATGTCACTGCCTAGGCCTGATCCTGCCTGGCCCGTGCACCAACTCTCGCGAAAGGTTACTCCGTCCCTAGCGTGAAAGCGGCTTGCACACGTAAGCCTGTAGTTTCAAACAGTAGAGGCCAAGCATATACCGTAAACGATACTGTCACGCGTGTAAGCAATGGGGTTGGTTCCGCCGGGAGGTGATGTTTAGAAATGCCCCCGCGTCTTCGAACGCGCCCCTCGACTTGGACATTCAACTCCTTGAGCGCAGGCGTGATGTGTTCGAGGTTGAAACATTTTGCGAAGGAACAAAGCATTTTCTGCGACACGTTGTTGGTTCACCCATTCATAGGCGCGTAACTCAGACAGCCTTGACCACCTTGAATGCACCTGGCCAGCTCGACGGGCTCTATTGAGGCGTGTGTTCGCACGTGAATGCAGTGGTCCAGCCGGTCATCGACATGTGGATTCAATCGAGACATTTTCTCAGCGTTCTGAAGGTACATTTCGTGGATAGTGCCCTGTCTAGATAAATTCACTCGTGTGGAGTAAATGGTTGGCTAGACTCCACATTGCACTGGGCTTGCGGTCGATTTGTCGTTGGTGTTGTGTCGTTGAATTGACTGACGATAGCGTGTGCCAGTGTGGCCTTGTCCGCTCTGTCCCTGTGGATCCGTTCACGGCATTTACGTTGAGCAAGACAGGTTTCGAACGTGGAGGAAGGGTTGGCCAATGCAGAAGACGCTGTTGCATGTGAATTGCCATCTCGAGCTGGTTGCACATGGACGCATAATGTACCCAATGCGCCATTGCGGCCGATGACAAGAACGAGGTGTCGCACTGGACTAGGTCGACACAGACAGCGAGCCGTGTTGGACACCCGTGCTTGATGACTGTTTTGATCAAGGTATCCACACGACAATGTTGGGACGAATGAGCGACAGGTGGGATCGGAGCATCCGAGGAATTCAACGTAGCAGCTGCAGTTGAGTTTGGTGCGCCCGCAGTGACGACGATGTGGGTGCGCAGCCACTGCTCAAGTTGGGAGACGGTCCCAAGCGAAAGCACTTGGTCGAGGGACGCCAGCCATGGGCCCAACGGCGGACTGTTGCATGCTGGGGATTCGTTCATCAGGGTGGCGCAGCGCCAGTCGTGAGGTTACGATGCAAGTGTGCATGTTTTCGGCTCAGGTCTCCACCACGTTCGATTGTCGAAAGTCACGAAAGGTCGCTACAGGGCCTAACCGCGGGCCAATCATATCGTGATCATCCGGAGGAAGCCTCTTTGATTGGCTGAATTGGTCAGCATTGCGTCGGGATCGACTCGACGGTGAACGTATACTACGGCTACATCGATGGATAAAGTAGCGGCCCCTCTAACTTTCCCACCCCGACCACTTGCACTAGTGGGTTGATGATTCCAGCGAACTCCCCACCGCACACATGGGCCTCACGTGCTTTTCTTCCATCGCCGTTTGTTGCGCTCAAATGGCGCGTTTGCTGGATTTTTGTCGCCATGTTGACCTGTCACCTTAACAAGAAAACCGCCCACGGGAACGTGTCGCACCGCACCCAGCCGTTTGTTTCAACCAACCGATTACACGATCCCGCCACGGCGACAGCGCACTCTACCATCGTACGTCCACGTTCCCACACCATCCACGGCAATCTCTGTCGCTGTCGTCCATCGATCTCGCCCCTTGTCCGCGCGACCATCTCGACGATGTTGTCGCGTCGGTTTCACGGTGTCCGGATAAATCCGGATACCATACTGTAGTCCTAGCACATGTCCGGATACCATGTGGCTGAGGGAGAAATTTTCCGCATCAAGGGGGCAGGTGCCCCAAACGTTCCATATAAAGAGCCATTCGAACAGTTACACTTGAGGTTTGTATACTAGAGCAATCACCCCGCAGCCAAGTTGATATGTTGGTCAGAATCCAAAATGCTCGTGGCGTGCCACTTCGTGCATAAAGAGCGGGCCACTCACTCGACGTCCGGCCTTCACATGACCAGCAACAACAGCCACCATAGCTGCAAGCAAGAGTACAAACCGCACGAAAAGATGCCTGGAATCGTCAAGAACCCTCCGACGTCGTCGCCCCTTGTCGCGCCTACCGGTGGATTCAACGGGCGATGCAAGTACAAGTCGGGGCGGTGCATGAACGAACGCACGCTCAAAGACAACGGACTCCCCCATACCCTGTGCGAAGAACACCGCGTCCTGCACAACAAAAACCAGCGCAAGTCAGACACGAAACGCAGGCGGCTACGCAAGGGCCACCTCGCGCCATTTGACCAATTGAGGCACGCGCCAACGTCGCTGTCGGCGCCGTCCATGCACCTGATACATCACCACCATCTCCTCGAGGAGTATCGATCTGCAGGGAGCACGTACAGCTCCGACCAAGAGGGCAGTATGCATGCAAACGACGACGACATGTCGGACCCCGACGACCGCAGCCCCAGGACCCCCACCATGGACTCTTCACACCACACTCCCCCCACCATCAGCAATAGCTATCAGACTTCCACGAACATGGAATGGTCGACGGAGGAGATCTGGATGCTGCATTCCATCCTTGGCATCGACCACCATCTGCCTCCAACATCTTGCTAGCGCCCCCCGTCCTGTAATATATCACCGGCTGCGACGGCGTGCGCGTTCTCAAGACAAACGCTCTTCCGGATACAACCGGATAGTCCCACTCGCGCCAGCGTCATGCTGCCACGAGTCATTCCGATCTCCGCCACAATCTGGCGACATTAACCGGATACAACCGGATACGAACCCCGTTTCATTTTCTCGACGTAACTGTTTGTCCTTGAAAATTCCCGTCGCGACAGGCAGCCCGCACTGCTTTGCCGCCATCGGCAGTGGCGTCGCAATCTTGGTCGGCTATTTTCTCGTACGAATGTCGAGAAGTTTCCTTCCGGAAGGGACTGAGGCCGCCACGCGAGGCGGCGATTTCCTTCAGGGGGTAGGACTATCCCGAAACGTGTGGTGGACAAGAGACTTGGCGTCGGTGAGTACAAACGGCGCTGGCATGATAGTGTCGCAATGGGCCTGGCGTCGAAGGATTTTGCCTGTGGCTGGCCCGTCGAGAACAATCTGGCGAAAACATCTCGCCAGATAAGATGGGCCAAGTGTCGAAATTCGAAAGTGTTGGTGTCTGAGATCGCGACCTTTCCCGACCAGTGAAACGCACGGCCGTTACAAAATCGAGCCAATCGAATGCGACCGGCGAGTCGCCCACGTGTTTGGCCAAAATCAAATCTCCCGTTCAAATCGCACGCCGTTCCTCTCGTGCACGATGGCGATCAACTCTGTCGACGATCACAAACGAAAGCGCATGACAGGGATTCCCAAATTCCTTCGATCGCTCTTCAGCATCCTCGAGTCGGAGGACCCGACCGTGATCGGGTGGACGCCAGACGGCACGGCGATCCAGATCCTGTCCGAGCGCCGCCTTGAAACCGAGATCTTGCGCAAGTACTTTAACCATGAAAAAGCATCGAGCTTTCAGCGGCAGCTCAACAACTTTGGTTTTCGCAAGTGGACCAAGACCCAGTCCCACACGTGCACGTTCTCCCATCCGAACTTCATGCGCCACCACCCCGAACTCCTCCCCCACGTCCTTCGCAAGTCGCCTCGATCCGTCGCTGTTGCCGACGCGAAAGAAGCAGCCACTGCGAATCGTGAAAATCAACACCAGAACAACCCGGTCAACCCCGGCGACATGTTTACGTTCGACGAGCCTAAGATTGAACTCATGGGCAAGCAAGGCGATGTCTGGGATGTTTTTCCCTTGGACATTGACGGCGACGACTGGGATCTCGCGGCCCCCCACCCGATGCATCCTGAGGCCACCACCGTGCTATGCCTCCCCAACGACAAAGCGAACGCGTGGGACAGCCAGTTTGCACATCAAACGATGGTACCGCCCGCCGCACTTGATTTTGACTTGTCATTTTTCCTCCACGAGTCGGCCCTTCTTCGTTGATCGTCCAGCTCCCACGCTTGTATTTATATCCCATGTTCAATTAAGAAAAAAGATCGTAAATACGCTGACTTGACTTCGCTCTGTGCCATGCCAATGCCTCTCGAACAACGGCCCTGCGCCGTCCGCTCTTGCGAGATGCCCAACTACCCCTCGGTCGAGCGAGTCACACCATTAAGGCCAGGGTCGCAGCTATTCCTCACGTTTTGTCGTCGAATGGCATGCCCACCACGCCGGGCATTCGAATCGACTGGGGGGGGCAAACTCACACCAGGTGATCATCTCCTTCGCGCAATTCCGGACTGCGTGAACCCTCAACACCATGCGTCGTTGTTTGCCTGGTGCTCCTACAGGAAAATCAGTGTGCACGAAACAAAGAGCCATGGCAGCCTTTTACCGCCTTGGGTACAACCCAAAGCATCGTGTGCGCTTCGCATCCCGTTGGAAAACGAATGCAAAACCTGCATCAGCGTATCAACTCGAATGACGGAGGTTTGGCCAAGTCGTTGCTCGAGGGATTGTAGCGTTGGCAGCATCGAATCCGCTGTCATACCGAGGCCATGCGACGAACGAACGGGCGACTCGATACGGAATGCACTCCGTTTCAGTAATGTATTCACGTTGCAAGGCCATCCCACAGCGTTGTGGTGCGAGTCTAGACCGACATGTTGGCCAAGTAAGCGCTCCATCCCTGCTCTTCCATTTTGTTGATCTTGCCCTGCACTTCTTGTTCTTGTCTCGCCAAGAACGATTCCATTTTGGACAAGTTGGCGTCACCCCCCAGGATGCGCACGGCCAGCAACCCCGCGTTCGCGGCATTTCCAATCGCGACGGTCGCGACTGGGATTCCCTTGGGCATCTGGACGATCGACAGCAACGAGTCCATCCCGCTCAACGCGCGCGTTTGAATGGGTACGCCAACAACTGGCAATGGCGTGAGGGCTGCGACCATGCCTGGCAAGTGCGCCGCGCCGCCAGCGCCGGCAATAAGCACTTGCAGACCGCGTGCCCGGGCGCTCTGGGCATACGTGTACATGCGTTCGGGGGTGCGGTGGGCCGACACGATGCTGAGCTCGTACGGGATTTCAAAATCGTCGAGAATTTTGGCCGCCGCAGACATGCTGGGGAGGTCCGAGTCCGATCCCATGATGATGCCCACGACAGGTTGCTTGGTCGACGGAATCGTGAGGGCGGCCGTGGCGGGGCTTACCACCAGTGCACGCGCGCGAAGTTCGACGAGCGACGGTGCGACGATGGTCAAGTGACCCACTTTGCGACCCGGGCGAATCGCTGCTTTGCCGTACCAGTGCACGGCCGCCCCGGGCACCGTATGGGACAAGTCCATCAACGACGTCGTTTCGGACGGGTCACTGGACCCGAGCAAGTTGAGCATCCACGATGCACCGACCTTGAGGGCTGGAGACCCGAGGGGAAGCCCCGCGACGGCGCGCAAGTGGTTCTCAAACTGGTCCGTTTCGCATGCTTCGATCGTGTAGTGACCAGAGTTGTGCGGCCGGGGCGCGATTTCGTTCAACAAGACAGAGCCGTCCGAAGTCAGGAAGAGCTCGACGCCAAAGATCCCGTTTCCACTGAGTGCAGCGACGGCCTTGTTGGCCAATGATGATGCGGCCGCCAACACTGTCGATGGAATCGCAGCCGGCGCCAACACTGTGTGGCAAATGTTGTTGTGCTGAGTTGTCTCGACAACAGGGTAGCATCGCACATCACTGCCTTGGCGCACGACCATTACAGCGAGCTCCTTGGTGAACGGCACCCACTTCTCCGCGTACAACTTGCCAGGGGACAGCGCGTCTTTGCCAGCGAGGGCGGCAATCGACGATTCAAGCGTAGCACGCGAGTCTACCACGGCGTTGCCCTTGCCATCGTACGACCACAAACGCGACTTGAGCATGAAGGGGTAGCCAAAGGCAGCTCCAGCAGCTTCAGCCTCGGCCATCGAGTCCACGCGACGGAATGCGCCCAACGGAAGGTTCAACGCTGCGGCGAACTCCTTTTGGGCAAACTTGTCTTGAATCAAAGCGATTGTGTCCGGGCTCGGATGGATGGCCAACTTAGGGTGCGACGTCTGAAGCGCACGGAGAGTTTGGGCGTTTACATGTTCAATTTCCACAGTCAGAACATCGCACTGGTTGGCGAGCGCTTCAATGGCCGCGGCGTCCGTGAATGACCCGGCAACTGTCGGGACGACTTGTCCCGCCGGAGATGCACTACCTTGAGGGTCAAGGCATGTGAACGAGAGTCCGAGGCGGTGGGATGCATAGCCCATCATGCGGCCGAGCTGGCCGCCACCCAAGCAGCCCACACGAGGTCCTCCTTGAAGCGATCCCACGGTCATGTTTTTGATGAAGGTCAAATGCGTTGGCAGCGATTGGTCCTTGGCGCAACGTGATTGGTTGTCCTCAGAAATCCGGATAAGAAGCCGAATATCTCTGGAGCAGGTCGCTAATCGGTGAAATGGAAGGCAAATGTCGGGCTTCTTGAGCTGCCGAGTGGAACATAGTGGGGTCTAGAACAAGATACCAGTCTTGTTGACTACCTGCCTTGGCTGCTCTGGAGGCAACTCGTCCTTGCCGCTCTCGGTACTTGAACTCGATACAATCACATGGGCAGCGCAATATTCGGATGAAGATTGGATATATATTGGATTTATTTTAAGCATAGGGAATTCTGATTGGTTCGATTGTACGATTTATGACCAATCCTGAAAAATAGAAGTGTTCAACCAATCATGGCATAGACTTGTACCTCGACCAACCACAAGATGCTCGAGCTCCGCGGGACGACGGCGCTAGATGACTTCACACAAGCCCCTCACGACAGCGCGACCTTGGAACGCCTTCGGTCGCAGTACGTTGTAGTAACTCCTGGCCAAGTGATCACGAGCGAGCCGGGGTTCCTGCGCGGTCATGGGACGTACGTCGAGGCCGGCGAGCTGCTGGCAAGCGTTGCGGGCATCGTCGAGAAGGTGAATCAACTGGTGAGTGTCCGTCCACTTGTGAGCAGGTATATTGGCGAAGTGGGCGACATCGTCGTGGGGCGCATTTCAGATGTTGGGAACAAGCGGTGGAAGGTCGACATCAACGGCCAACAAGACGCTGTGCTCATGCTAACCTCGGTAAACTTGCCGAGCGGGGCCCAGCGCCGACGTACGACCGAAGATCAGCTTCAAATGCGATCATTCTTCGAGGAAGGCGACTTGATCAGTGCTGAGGTCCAGGAAGTGCGGTACGACGGCACGATGTGGCTGCACACACGCAGTTTGCGATACGGGAAACTCGAGAACGGTCAGCTCATCGTGGTGCAGCCGTCTCTAATCAAGCGGCTCAAGCAGCATCTCGTTCAGCTGCCCGACATCGGTGTCGATGTCATCCTCGGATGCAACGGGTATCTCTGGATCACGCGCAGCATGGACGAGATTGTCACGGACGGCGCTCAGAATGAACTGACCGCCGACGCATGGACAGAGCGCAAGGTCGCCCACACCAACACGGTCACAGGCGCATCCGTTCGTCGCGAGATCGCGCGGGTGTACAATGCGCTGGCGAGCTTGAATGCGCGCTTCCGACTAATTTCGCCCGAGAGTATCATGGACACGTACCACGCGATGGCGAATGGCGAGCCTTTGGACGCTTAGGATAGTGATGCTGAACTACTAGAATGCAAGCATTTCAATTTCATCACCGATGGAATCATCGCGCCAAAGCAAGTAGAATACCTAGGAAAGCAGCATCGGTCAAAAGGGATTGTTTGGGCTCGGCCATTATCGCCTCGTTCAGCATCGACTAGGCTATTGCTGCGCAAACACCTAAGCTCGATCACTTCGCTTGGCAATCCATCGAATGCACCAGAAACCAGCTACGTGAGCTCGCCACTGTGCAGTCTTGGTGCCCTGCAAGGCGGAGGAAGGAACCGTCGAACCATTATTTGCCGACAGCTCTTGTCTCCAGTCTAAACACGCTGTCGCGGCGCCGTCTGGTGTCGAAGGTCCTCCTCTTGGGCCGATTTCGCTCGAATAGCGCCGCCACCACGGAGGAAGGTGCTGTTGAGAGGGGCCAATGTGTATTTATTACTCTAACGGCACGTGTGAACGACTTGGTGGGCATCGGCTGGTTTCACGTGGCCGGCATGGGACACGGTTCAGATAGTGGGCGGCGCCACTTAGTACCCCTTTGCTTCGAAAACGCCCTGGGCCTTGATGCGGATCGTGTTGAGCTCCGTGAGGCACTTGAGGCAGTCCTGTTTGACGTTGTCGTACTCGACTTCGCGGGTCTTGGTCTCGATATCTGCATCGCCCTGGTCACCAACATGGCACATGGTCTCGATCGATAAAACGTACACTCTCTCAAGTGGAAGATGTTTTGCTCGTGGTGGCGCAGCTTTTGCTCCAGCGAGTCAAGCGTCTTGGCGGTATCGTTGTTGCTGAGTTGGTGCTTGACGTTTTCGTACTGCGCCGCGAGGAGGTTCACCTGCGATTTCATCGCGTCACGGCGGCGAATGTACTGCTGCTTAAACTTGAGCAGCGACTGTTTGGTCGTCGCGTGGGTTTCCTTGAGTGCTTCGATGTTCTGGAACCCGTCCATGTCGCTCTCCATGGTTTGCATTTTCGACGAGAGCGAATTGAGCTCGACGGAGATTTTCGCGTCAAGCGTGTTGACCTTTTCCAGCTCGGCCTGGCGCTTGGACAGCTCCATGCTCAGCCGCGTTTTCGTCGTTTGCGCCGACTCGAGCTGCCGCTCCTTGAACGTCAAGTCTGTTTTCATTTCTTCGACTTTGGACGCAGTCGGCATCTTGTCCTGGCGATTCAGCCCTACGAACGGGCGACGCCCACGAGTCAGAAGACATTTCTCGCCACTTCAACCGTGATCGCCATGACATGCACGCATGCAACCGATCGAGGAAAATCGACGCACGACGATCGCATCATCGGCCGACACGTGTTGAAGGGTGTGGGACGGACCCACCAGACGAGATGTGCTCGAGCAGGCGCACGATCATCGCTTGGGACTGGCGCTGGTTCTCGAGCTCTTTATCCTTCTTTTCGTCAAACGAGTCCATGAAGGCCGTCATTTCTTGGTCGCGCTGGTACAGCATGTCGTACTTTTGACTGGCGTTGCTGTCCGGGCCGTCGTTCTTGCGCTCCTCGAGCTCGAGTTTGACTTCGTTCAGCGCCTTCTTCAGTCCGGCTACGTCGACATGTGTTGCATCACACCGAGTCATTCGAACGGTATTCTCAAGGTGACCGCACCGTTCTCTTCGTCGGCCGCAGCGATTTGTTTCTCAACCTGCTCCATCTTGGCCTTGTCGTCCTTGACCTGACAAAACATATGAAGGGGAGCGGCGTGAGTTGGGGTTGCTGCAAAACATACAGAGGTACCCGCGCCAGGAGCATGTTGCGGGCTTCCGTGGGGTCCATCTGGGCCGTTTTGAGGTCGGCTTGAATGGTTTTACACTCGCTCTTGAGCCGCATCGCCTGACGTTCGAGCTGGTCGTACTCGTCGCGAAACTTGTCCATCCCGAGCTCGTCTTCTTTGGCCCGGATCGTTTGCATGAGCATGTCCAGTTCCTAGCGACTCATCACAATCAAGCGTTGGTTGGTTGATATCGATCGCGGAAAAGGACTGCCAGGGGCATGTACCTGCGATTTCGCCTCCAATTCTGCCTCTCCCTGGTGGTTTTCTTCGAGCAATGCCTGATCGAAACGTGAGATAGCACGTCGTACTCCGCAGCACGAACCCGGTACTTTTCCAGCTTGTTTGGCGCCAACTGGTTGATCTTGTCCTGCTGTCGCATGTGAATGGCGTTGATCTCGTCTTCAAAGTGCTTGGTCGTGCGCTCCTGCTCCTGGCGCATGATAAAGATCTAAAAGCACCAACTTGGTCCATGAAACAGCCCTTCGTATAACAGGTGGGCCGTGTACCCTGTCGACTTCCTCGGCTTCTTTCATGTTTCGGTGGCGTAGCTGCTCTTGGACTTGCCGAATTTCGTCGGGGTCCTATGCAAACGCGCTCGACGAGGCGACTTGGTCGAGTGAAACGTTACCGTCGCGCTGCGAAGCTTGTCCATGGCGAGGTTGTAGTCCGCGAGTTGCCCCTCCAAGTCGCGCACTTCGATTGCCAAGTGCTCGTATTTTTTCTCAAGCTAAAGACAGATGAGGACGGCGACTCCGGCGGCGTGGTAAACCTGGGTGTACTGGCTCTTGTCCTTGGCGTCCTGGTCGATTTCTTTTTTGATCTTGTCGATCTCGGCCGTGATTTCGGCCGTCTTTTGATGCAGTCGCCCTGTGAAGTACGACGCATCTTGCACCTGACGCCCAGGCCCCGCCGTCATCACGCGCATTCCCATCATCCCTACACGCGATTTTGACGACTGTTTTCGGGCGGCGTAGCATACCTTGCTGAGTCACGGGGCGGTCCGTCACTTGAACTTCAGTGTTTAAGCTCACGCCGTACCCTGCCGACTGGCCAGGTGTCGCTGGCACTTGGCCCGTGCCGAGTCGGCTCGTAAGCGGTCGACCGCCACCAGAAGACTGCAGAGCAGTGCGCTGCCCGGTCCCTGGACGCGAATTCACGGCATTCAGCGGCTGCTGCGAGCCCGTGCCGGGACGTTGCCCAGTGCCAGGGCGTTGGCCAGAGCTCGTGCCTGGGCGTCCCGACGACATCGACGGCAAAGATCCGAAAGTGCCTGTTCAAGATCCATCCACAAAATGTATCTTGGTATCCGGAAATTTCGAACACCACAGCCAATGAAAAACGAGAAGAAATTCATAAAGTTGAAAAACCTTTCAAAAACTCAAAAAATCATCCATGGAATTCGCTTGTTGACGCCCCCCGTTCCTCGTGACGACGACAAGCCAGGCAGTGCCTGGCGCGATTGCCGAAGACAGTTAGGCGCTCGTGTGAGCGAAGATCGTGCTAGGCTCCACATCAAGAAAAGTTATCCTCAACATGGGGGACTAGGGGGGCAAGTGCTACCACACGATGACCACTTACACACACCACCTCTAATGGGACAGGGTGGTGCTGTCAGAGTAAGAAGGTAAGACGGGGGGGGCATGATTCTTTCGACAATGGTATGATGTGTTATCTTTGAATGCAACATGCATCAGCATGACGCTCCTTGCCAAGGCTTGCACATAGAGTCGTGTAGCTTACGCATCTATGTGTCGGCGTGTAGGGGCCGTCGCGCTCAAGGACGACGTGCCTTCGACTCATTGCCTCCCCCACGAGTATGCTGGAGAAATGCCGCCCCCTTCCACCAGCTGACCTAGTTGGCGCCATGGTGCGTGATCCGTGCCGAGCTCCTTTCAAGAGTCCAGAGTGCTAAGGATGTTATCCGGATACGGTTTTCTTGAAGTATTTTTGAAAGCTCCCAACTTGAATTCTCTTCTCCCTCTGGCGGCGGTGGCAGCGGCGATTACCGTACGACGACAACATCCACAGCATCCGAATGGTGGGGTCATGGAGGGATCAAGTGTCGGCGCAGTCGCGGAGTGCAGTGATCAATGAGATGTACGTCGACCTCCATGCACGCATCTCTGTGTGGATACCCACTCGTGCAGTGCTTCTAACCCACCGTCGTGATGTGCAAGGTGCTCCCAACTGTTGCGCTTGCAGGGTGGCGACAAAGAACGTTTACAGCAAACCGTGATGAAGTACGAGCACGCCGTGTGGACGAAAGCGAACGACAAGGTAGGTGGGGCAGTCCAAATAGCCCACATCGCCACCATCGTCGTGTAGGAGTCGTATATGACGACCTTGAGAGCGAAAATACTTTCGTTCAAGCAGCGACCTATCGCGAACGACGCAACACCCGTGTCCCCGATTGGTGTACTTCCAACAACCAACAACGGCGACATGAGTGTGCCGGCGAGCCCCCAAGTCAAGTTGGATACATCGCTGATGGAAGTGGACATTATTCCGTTTTCAGAGCAACTCCAGCAACCAACCCAACCGGCACAAATGCCTCAAGTACGTTGGCTCATCGTCGAACGTTCTCGTCTGAGGACTGTCGTAGCAGGATAGTTCAAATACCACATCAACAGCACTCCATGAACAGTACCAGCAGCGCCGTGTCGAGCTGATCAAGAACCAGTACAACGAGACGCATCAGTGCTGCCAAACGCAACTTGCCCAGCAATCGCAACTGTCCGCGTCCCACGTGCAGCAAAATACTCCGATGGTACGATCGATCGCATGCACGTCGGTCTGGCGTCCCCACACCCCCAATACCGTCGTCCGTAGGCGGCAAGGCAACTGCAAATGACCATGCTCCAGTTGCAGCACGACATGGCGCGAAATAACTTGATGCAGCACCACATGAGCCAGCAGAACAACTTGATCCAGCACCACTACCAGCAGTTGCTGGCTCTGGCCAACCAGGAAATCAGTATTTGATGAGCACACCGAACGCTCTTCATGCGGCGACCAGTGTCTGTGTCCACTCCCGAGTGTTTTGTAGTAATATATCTAGTCTCACAGCACTTTTCGGATCTGGCAACATCCCGTGGCGGTCGCCCCATCCTCGCGATGCACCGCACGACAATGGATACGATGTTGCCATCACGCCTGCATGATTGCAACGCCGAGGTCTCGATGGAACCCCCTTGTTGGTGTGTTAAACGGGACGACGTCCTCGGGTCGGCAACTTCGATCGCCTATGCAGTCAGGGTACCACGGGGTTCCCGAACATTGCAACGTCGCGACGTAGGCTATCGACGATGGCGCCAGTGAGTATTGGAATGCGACAAGTCAATGTTCGGAAGAGTCACACCGTCCATGGCCCCAACTCGACAAGCTCAAACGAGACGACTCGTCGCTGTCAACACAGCATACTAACGTGCGTTGGCATAGGCAACATGCGGCTGTGCATGCTTGACAGCAACTGCGGACGCAACCAACTCCAGTCGACATGCCGCACGACGGCACACCCAAGTGACACTCGTGAAATCGTGAACCATATGAGTTGATACCCTGTTTAATCGGATACTCTCAGAAATACTATGACATAGAGGCTTTTTCGGATTCGAGGTACCTCCATGCTGCAGTTTGGACGAGCAGGTGGCAAATACGCCACCAACACAGCGCAGTGACTGTGGTGACTAGCGTTAGTTTCATGTACACTTGCTTCTCCACAACATGCGAGAATTCCTGGCGACAGCTTGCGGGGAATGGTTGTGTGTGGGGGCGCATTTCCGGCAAACACAGTGGGCAGATGCCTGCGGTGGTCTGCATGCCTTTCGCAGGCTCCATGTTGAAGTCGAGCAGAACGACTGAGGCGCGCCGTTCGCTGCCCTTTAGCCCTTTTCGACACGCCGTCCAGAATGGATGTCGATCCTTCAAAACTTCATACGGTCGAATGGGACGACAACAATTCCGGATACATTATTCGGAATCGCACCATGCACGGAAACTCCTGGCACTTTTGAAATTGCCAGCTCGAGATGGCAGCGCCGACGCCGTCCGGAGGATGGCGCGAAGAGATCACAGAGGAGAACCGAAAGGGGATGATCACGGACATGTATGTGGACTCGCTTGGCGCGGCCTATCGTCCGTGAAAGTGAGCTAATCGTGAATGGACTCTGTGCGCTGTAGGTACCACGAGTTGCTACGCATCTCGGGTGAAAACGACAAGCAGAAGGTGTGGCGGTCAGCTGCCAAGTTTGAATTGATGTTGTGGTTGCAGTCAACAGATCAGGTGAGTTGCCTTGATCTGCGATGAACCCGTCATTTTGACGTACGTGTCGGTGCGTAGATGACGTATATGTCAAAGCTGCAGAAAAAAATTGCGAGTCTGAAAAAGAAGGTCCAATCCGAGACTGCAGGAGTTCCCCAGCAAACTCCAGCCCAACAGCAGCAGCAACAACAACAGCAGGCCCAGATGAATTCCCAAGCGCAGGCACAAATGGCTGCTGCCGCTGGAATGTTTCAGAACCCAGTTAACATGGCGAACGCCGCTGGGATGGCCAATGCGACCAACGCCGCAGCGATCCAGCAGTACAACCAAACTTTGTTCCTCCAGCAACAAGCGGAGCTTTTGAAAAAACAGCAAGAACAGCACCGCTTGAATACCCTTGCCCGCCAGCAACAAGCCCAACAGGCTGTCGCAGCTGCTCAAGCTGCCGCAGCCGCGCAAGCAACCCAAGCCGCTCAAGTTGCCGCCCAGGCCGCAGCCGCCGCGGCTGCAACGACTGCAAACACTTCAGCATCGGCCCCTGGTCCCACAACCACAAATCCATTGGCTGTACGTATTGCCCTTGTCCACAGGACCAATTAATTACACACTGATATTGTAGACCCAGCAACAGCCCCAAGTGCTGATGCAGTTGCAGCAACAATACCAGCAGCAAAAGTCGGCGCTGACGACGGCCCAGCACAACGAGATGCAAAGGCTGCGGCAGGCCCAACTGCTCCAGCAAAACCAAGTGTCAACACAGCAGCACCAGAACAACGTGCCACAGGAAGCGCGCGTGAATCAAATGACACAACTCCAGCAGCAGCACCTGAATGCACGCAACAAGCTCTCAGCCGAGCACAAGGCCAAGCAGGCGCAGCTCCTACGGCAACACCAACAGACTTTTTTGCAGCAAAAGGCACTGCTCGGGCACACCACGATGTCTGCGGCGGCGGCCAATAACGCGAACGCGTCGGCGTCCTCAGGCACTGCTGCAAACAATTCGGCAACCATGAACGCAAATGCGATGAACACGGCAGCGGCGATGCAGCAAGCCGCCGCGATTGCCGCACAGACAAACAATCAAGTCACCGCTGCGCAAGCGCTGGCGGCGCAAAAGTTCCAGCAGCAGCAACGCGCCCTGTCCCGTCAAAACTCGCTGACATCAACGACACCCGGACCAACCGCGTCGACCGCTTCGACACCACCTGTCCCTGCCGCAAACGCCGCTGGGCAATTGGCCACAGCGGCGTCTGGCGACGCCTTGAGCTACGGCGACAAGCTCAAGCAGCTCAAGACCAAGTACTGGGAAGATCTCGTCGTGGTTTGCCGTGAATTCACCCGCATGGCGATGCAAAAACCGGCGGGAGAGTCCCAACAGGCGTTGCAACAACAAGAACGCATTAAAAACTTTTTGCAAAACCTCAAGCGCATCATGACGTTGCTCAACCAAGACCCGACCAAGCTCACGAGTAACAACCGAAATGACCTGGACCGCGTCGAACAGCACATTGAGCGCCAGGTGATGCCGATTTTGTCTCGATTGAAGTCGGACAAGGCCAAGCAGCGAGAAGTACGTGGCAAACAGGATGCGTTCGCCGAAGGTGACAGTATGTCGATAGGACCCGGCTAAGACGGAAACGCCAGTGACACCGGCACCGACCGCTGGCCCAACCCCGGCGGACCTCCAGCGACAAACGGTGCTCATGCAGCAAGCAGCGCAGCTCGAGCTGCAACGGCAGAACCACCTTGCCCAGGTGAGAGAGCACGCGATCGATGGGCAAATGACAGCATGTGGGCGAGTGGTTTTGAATTTGAATCGAACGCACGAACTCGTTTGACGTTCTGCACACATTGGAGCGTTGTGTTTCAGTTTTGTGGTGCATTCTCAACATGCCGGCGACTACCGATCGTGATGGCATCGGTTGTTGTAGCAAAAAGCGGCCCAGGAAGCGTTGGTGAAGGCACAAAAAGCAGAGCTGATCAAAGTGGAAGCAGAGAAACAGCAAGCTGTGGCGGCAGCTGCGGCGGCCGCCGCCGCAGACCAAGAGCGTAAGGTCAAAGAGGAAGAGGTCAAGAAAGAAGCGTCGATGGCCGAGTTGCTCAAACGACAACAACAAATGCAAGCGGCGCAGTTGGCCGCCGCCGCTGCCCAACAAACAGGGCCGCCCATCAAGCTGACTGAAGCCCAAAAGGTGGCGTTGCAAGAACAAGCCAATAAGTTTCGCCTGCAGCAACAAGAAGTTCTCAACCAGCAGACCCGCGCCAAGAGCCCCGCGAGCCAGACCAAGCTAGCGCAGCAAGCGCATTTGTACGGCGTGCACATCGCCAAGATCACACAGCAGCTGCTCCAGGCCAAGTTGGCGGAGGAAAAGGACAAGAAGGACGAGATAGTGTCGATCGTGTCGATCAACTCGGCACTGAACGCGTCCGAGAACTTTCTCAACGTGATCACAGCCTTTGCAAAAGACAAGCCCGACGTGCTCGAAAAAGCCGCCCCCACGTTCGCGGGACTGAGTCAAGCACTCGGAACAAAGCTGACGACGTCGTTCTTTTCGTCCTCGTGACGGGATTGTCATAAAACACGTGAGTCCCTACCATTGCACCACGGTTGTCTTTGCCGTGTTTTCGCGGAACGACCGAGTCAAGAGGGGAATCCCTTGGAGACGGGGGGCCGTGCCAGATCCTTCTCTGCAACGAAGGCGCATCCTCTCGAGTGAATCGACGTTTTGTTTGCGCTGGTACAGGATGGCTACGCCACGCGGTTCTTCTGGAATCGAGGCAGCGGACGAGCAGACGACTGACGCCACCACACCATCGCCACGACGCTACCGACTCCCGCGACACCTGCGCCGACGCCAACGTACACCACCCACGACGAGTCACTCGCACGCAGCGCCGTCGGTTCAGGATAGGCGTACATGGAGTCGAGGAAGCGCAAGACCGCGCGGGTATCGGTCGCGCAGCGCGGACAGTCGGACGGGCTCGGAAACACTGGATGGTGCACGCGCGCATTGACCGCGCTGTGCATGTTGTATGCCCACAGCTGCAGCGCGACGGGGGATTTCGTTTGCAGCGTCAGGGGATTGACAGCGACAAAGTGCTCTCTACACGCGTCGCACGTCATGAACGTTGCGACGAACCCCCGAATGGCTTGGTACACTTGGACACAGTCGTTGGGAGACAGCGCCGTCGTTTGATGAGCGGCGATGTGGATCACGGTCCATAGCCCACACGTGTAGCTGTGGCATCGCTTGTACGACTTGCCATCGGTCTGGAACAGCCCGTGCAGGTCCATCCATACGGGCGTTTCGTCGGCGGCGGCGGCAGGAGCGGCGACGGACTCGTCTTGCCAGGCATGCAGGAGATTGTGCCATGTCACCATGTCGAGGTGGTCGAGCGATGACACATCGTCGTGCAAGACCTTGAGCGCGGCGCGGTGGTGCGGCCCGGGAAACGTCCGCTGGTGCAGCCACAGCCACTGTTTCAACGCTGCCAACTCGACTGGGGAAAGGTTCCCTTCGGACGCGGCAAACAGCTCGTGCTTGAGACCATAGACGATTGCGGATGCGGCGTCCTGGAGGCGCGATTCTCGAGTGGTCGGTCCCGACGATGCGGTCCAGTACGGGCGAACGTGGGTGGACATTGCCACGTCCGCGACGTCGCTGTCCTTCGCCTCGGAAGATGGAGCAGGCTGTTCTGTTGCCGCATCCAGTAGCTCTTGCACCTGAACGATAAGATCACCGTCATGTCCATCGTCGATCGACGTACCGTGGCGTAGATGGTGGAAGGGCCACTGCCGCCGCGTCGTCGGCGGGTCTCGCCGACCTCGCCAAAGTTGTAAAACACTATTTGGGGGTATCCGTGGATTTCGAAACGTCGACACAAGACGTTGTCGAGGCAATTCACGGCGCCGACACGGATCCGACCGCCGACGACGGCCTTGTAATGCGCGGCAACTTCGACAAAGGCCGGGGCAAACTGACGACAGTGGCTGCACCTACCAAGAAGCATGAAGTCGAGACACGATGGCGTCGGATGGAGACGGCGCGTACATGGGACTGTAAAAGTTCACGACCCAACGAGCGTCGGACGTCACATGCTGGTAAAAGTTGGCATCGGTCAAGAACGTAACATTCTCGTGGCCGTCGGGAAAGAGCGCGTCCGACCCCCCACCCACCGCTTCGGGCATGGCGTGCATCCATGCAAGCACCGTCAGCAGCGGCGCCAGTCGCCGCCACCCACGTGCCATCATCATGCCCATGTTTGGCTGCAAAAACGAACGTCGTCGAGGAATTTCCTTATATATGTATATATGCGACTGGCTTCTTCGACGGAGCGAAGGCGCCGCCGCGGCACAGCGCTCCATGCGTGCCATGTCTCGTTCGGATGCCACGACGGCGCGTCGAGTGCCAAAGCCATCGACCATGTCCAAAGAAACAATTCGACGTAGATTACCGGTGTGGATCAAAGGTCGCGTCACCAACTACGCATACGAGCGGTATCCGTCGCGGCGGTGCGTCTGCACCAAATAATGCGTGCCAATGGCCAAGAGCGCGCCGAGGACCATGAACCCGAGGATTTCAACCGCATTCGACTTGGTCCCCTTGTCGTTTTGCTGCGGATATCGGTACGGCGCCATCGGGTCCGTATACGTTTTGCCGGGCCACCCATTGAACTCGGACATTTCAAGCCACTCCTTGCTGTACCCAGGCACTTTCATCTGGGATGGCGCTTCGCCCGTGGTGATGTACCCGCCAGAGTACTTGCCCACAAGCGACCACGCGAGGGTCCACCACGACGCCACCACGTCCGATGCCAATGCGTTCGCAGCAGCTTCGACGGCCGTTGCATTCAGTTTGGCTCGGAGCCATGACGCGTGGGCGGCGATCGCGCGCGTCTGCGTCTCGTTCATGTGGCTGCGGACGTCTTGGCCATTCACGACATTCCACCGGAGCATGCTCCACTGGTTCACAAAGTTGAATGCCCACCTGGGACGCGTCAGTCGAGCAACCATCAACGACCATCGCGACGTACCAGGCAGAGCCCGTGTTAAACACCGACTGGTTTCCCGTCACGTACGATGCCGGCACCGACGACTGCGCACACGAAAACGGAACAAACACCGAACCATGGGGACTGTCCTGCGCGTACCACGCCGTGCCGCCGAGGTGGTCGGGCCACTGCTCCGACGGCGTTTGGATTTGCAGCACAAACGAAAACATCGTGCGATACATTGCTATCGGGCGCTCCCACCCCCCCGACACGTTCTTCGCTGGGCCGTCATACCTGCAAATGCCGTCATCTCGTCAAAGATGTTCAACAAATGCAAAAATTCATCGACAAATGCAAAAAATGCACCAGCAAACGACAAAAAAATCGTCGTCCAATATGACTTTGATGGAAAAAATTGCAAATATTCACAAAACATTTCGCCAACGGATACAAGCGTACCGAATCGGGGCATGGAACGCACCAGCACCCAAGCCGCGCGTCATATCGAAGGGCGTGCCTTCATAATGGTCGCCCAGCAAGCGCATCAGGTGCGGCAATGCCACGGGCGAGTCGACCGGGATACTAAATGGGTATGTCGTAAAGTTGACCTGGAAGCCGATGCGGGGATCAAGCTGCAACGACGGCGCAAACGTGTCGAAGATGCGCCAGAGGCGGCGGCCCGCGTACAGGGGCAGGATCCGGCCGGCAAACATCGAGAGATCGTCCCATGCGTACGCCTTGGTGAAGTCAAACACTTCGTCTGGAACAAACATGTCAGGGTGCAATCATGCTGCCAAGAGACACCGACCTGGGGAATGCCATCCCATCTCCTGAGCAAACGACACCACGTTCGACGACGCGAGGAAGTTGGCCGTGTCCGACAAGTTCATTTCGCGGATGACAAACGCATTTGCAATCGCCGTCACGTGTCCGTCGGGGACGCGCTGCGCCGCCCACACTGCACTCGAGTTCTTTGGCCCCGTCAGTACATGAAACACCCACATTTCGCCATACTTGTCGGAGATCGCCAACGCTTCCGCCGAGTCCATGTAGCCGGGACTCTATGCAGAAGTAGTGAGCACCCCGATAAAATGGATAAGCGATTCCAGAGGTAGACGCACCGCAGGATCCCCGCTGTCTTCGCTGAAGAACCCGTACTCGACAGCCAAATCGCCCATCGTTTGCACGGCACATCGCGCGGAGTCGCATCGTTCGAGCGCCACCTTGGTCAATTCTGCAATCCCAAACAGATTGAACCCGAACGGGACGTCCTTGGCCCACCCGACCGTTTTGGCAGTGCATGTGCTTTCGGCAATGCTCAACTGCACTTCGTTCATCATTCCGTAGTCTTGGTCAAAGTACGCATACGTGTGTGGGACCTGGGGAATGTACCCCAGTGGCGTCGACAGGGTCTGGTTTTCCACAGGACGATACAACGGACCGCGATCTTGCGTCGTGAGGCGGGGATATCCACCAAAAAGATTGTACACGGCACGCTTCGATCCTGGCGCGTGATCGGCAGCTGGGACACGAATTAAGCGAATATCTGCAGCTCCACCACCGGCATCATCTGTGTGTGCCAATAGCGATGACCCATCCGCAGACGCCTTGTGCGTGACTCCAATGACTGTGCATCCATCAACTGCTTCAAAGAGCGAAAAGGTTGCTGCAAGGAGTGCCGCAACGTGCATGCCGCTTCGAGGAAAAATATCGAGTGTGCCAATTGGATGTGGTTGAGTGTGGTGTGTCACAACTTCAACTGTTATTAAATTTCACAGATTATCGAGATATACATTGTATATGACGTTGCAGCAATCTCGAATAATATGTCAAATAATGTCCAGCATCATCGTCCACTTAAAACAATTTCCCTTGAATATTAAATGTATTTTAACAGGTTATTCAATTTCTTTACCTTCTCGGCTTCAACTGGAATTCTCTTGCTCGTCACATCAAGTACACTCGTCCAAGGGCATCACAGCCGCCAACGTCATCCGCGGCACATCTTGGTGCAATGGAGAGCAAAGTAATCCCATGCGGCCATCGTCCATCTTCCCCGATGGCATTGTCTAGACGGGTGTGGAGAGGTCAACAGACGTTGATCGTTTTGGCGCGCTGGTGAATGCCACGGACGTCATCACCTGAAAAGACTCGATGAAGAGGACGCCCTCAAAATCACACATTTGTACCGCGATACTGGCAGCTTTAAATCGTCGATATGCGTTGAATTGCCGCAGTTGCCGCAACGCCGTTTCGAGTTGCACGTTACCGACGTTGGCTCCGGCGATCCAGGGTAGTTTGAGGAGAGTTTTGGCGGTTGGTCTAGTTCGAAAGGATCATTCACTTGCGAGAAGAGCAGACCATCCGTACCTCACATTCGGGTCCACCGTGAGCATCAATCGGATAAAGTCCTTGGCTGCTTCCGAAATGTTGTCCCAGTACGGGCTGTGAAACTCGAACGCGCCTTTCTTCACTTGCTGGAACAGCGCGTTCCGATTGTCGTTATGGAACGGCGGATAGCCGCAAAGGAGGATGTATGTGATGACACCGATGCTCCAGATGTCGACGCCGTTCCCGTACGCCTTGCCGCGGAGGACCTCGGGGGCCACATATCTACGCGCGACACGTGAGCCGTTGGCGCCAAATTTGAAAATGAGGCAATTCGGCAGTCGAGTTATATTCTAAAAAATGCATACCCTGGAGTACCGCATTGCGTGATGAGATGATCCTTGGAGAGGTCGACGCGCTTGGCGAACCCGAAGTCGGCGAGCTTGAAATTGGCATCGTCGTCACGATGGACGAGTAGGATATTCTCTGGCTGCATGCGTGCATGTAAGTCCACGAATGTGCTGGTGAAACACAAGAACAAACCTTGAGGTCGCGATGGACAATGTTGGCAGCGTGAAAATACGCGGTCACTTCCAGGAGGCCCTTGACAACGTCGCGGGCTTCTCGTTCGGTGTAGAACGTTTTATCCACGATGCGGTCAAACAACTCGCCACCTTCCACGAACTCCGTGATCAAGATGAACAGGTCTGGCTCCGAGTACACCGCGTGAAGCTTGATCACATTTGGGTGGTCCATCTACATTAAGGTAGGAAACAAATGCAAGGGGAATGTCGAGGGAATACACGAGCGCACCTCCTTCAACACTGACGCTTCCATAATGAATGCTTCGACTTCATGGACGTCGAGCATCGCTTTCTTGATGCATTTCGCGGCAACCTTCATCTTGGTCTGCTTCTGCGTAGCCATGCGCACGACAGAGAATGCGCCGCTGCCGATCACACGTCCTAAATCATAGTGCTTGCTGCACGGGTCGGTCTCGAACATGGTGCATGTAGCGACAAGCTCAGCGATCCTGTCTTCTTTCGACCGCCCAGGCGGCGGTAGAGGCGGCGATAGAGACGTCATGGCCACGATGCAAGCTTGCTCCAATTTGTCAATGGTCACACAGTGACGAATGCCGTTAAATTACGCCCCTATCAACTTCAAAATTATGTATAGCTGTGATTCAAATCGCTGAATTTCGTTAATTTACGCTTTCCAAAATAGCTATGTGTGACTCGGGCAATTAATTATACCGCCGCGTTTTGATGTTGCAGCCACGGCGGTCAACTCGATACTGACACTACCAATGCATCGCTGTGGAACATCGGAGATGATCTCCTGTTGGAAGCAGGCGAGATCTTCGCCGTCCAGTGAAGTGAACCCTGGCTACATCGGCTTTCGGGCGAGGCACTGTCGCTTGCGCGTCGTGCGTTCACCTTGCCGAATTGATCGTAAACTGTGTGGAGTCGCGAGAAGTGCGTCAGGTTTCTCACCGAGTCTATCAAGGTCTGCGGCAAGTGAACCCTTCGGCAACGCTGCAGAATTCACCTCTCACGACTTATGGAGCCCCTTTGTCGTGGCCAAGCCCCTCGCCACCTTACGAGAGTGTGTCGTCGCTGCTACCTTCGCCCGCATTGAAAGAGTGTAGGTGGAGACCTGCATTCCGTACCAAGCGGACGTATTATTATTAGGATGTGTCGAAATTTATATAATTTAATAGTGGAAAATTAAAGTTCCGTCTTTGAGCGCTGGTCCAGATGGTAAAATTAAAATATTTCGCACGAGTCACGCGGTGAAACGCGGATTATTTCTTCGGTACAGAATCCAATATCCGCGATGGACAACAAGTTCATCCCGCAGGTAGGACGTCGGCGCGGTAGACGGCGGCAAAGCTGCGACTTTGATCTCATGCACGCTTCTACACCACAGGCGATTCAACTCGTGACCCAAGCGATCCAGGAAGACACGAACAAGAACTATGAAGCTGCGTTCAAACTGTACAAGCAATCCCTCGAGCACTTTATGATTGGCGTCAAGTATGAAAAGAACCCGACGTCCAAGGAGATCATCATGAAACGAGTCGAGGGATACATGACGCGTGCCGAGCAGTTGCGCGAGATGCTGGAAGGACAAGCCAAACCGAAGGTCGTCGCAGCCGGCGGCACCGCTGAAAAGTACGTGGGCTTGACTGAATGTTTAGTGTTCTTCCTCTATCAACGCTCTTGCTTCACTCTACGCAGGGAAAAAGATGACGAAGACAATGATGGCGATGCTGAAAAAAACAAACTGCGTGGCGCGCTTGCTTGTACGCACACATCATCTATCCAGTCGCAGGATCGAATTTCTCTGTGTATAGCTGCCGTCGTGTCGGAGAAGCCCAACGTAAAGTGGGACGATGTCGCTGGGCTCGAGGCAGCCAAGGAGGCATTGAAGGAAGCAGTGATCTTACCTGCTCGGTTCCCGCAGCTCTTTACCGGGAAGCGTCGGCCGTGGAAAGGGATTTTACTGTATGGGGTACGGCGGCATTACCGATCCCGTCCAAATCCTCAAGCCTTGCTCCGTAGCCTCCCGGGACGGGGAAATCGTACCTGGCTAAAGCTGTCGCGACAGAAGCCGACTCGACCTTCTTTTCAGTGTCGTCGTCCGATCTCGTGTCGAAGTGGCAGGGTGAATCTGAACGGTATGCGTCTTCCTCGTCCAGCTGGAATGCGTGGATAGCCTTGTGTGCGAGTCCTGATATCGATCATGGTCGTGTGGTGTATGCCGTGAATCGAATGGTGGCGCGCCAGTGTGTTGGCGAACAGGACGCGGTAGACTCACACGGGCGTTGTAGCTTGGTCAAGAATTTATTTGAAATGGCTCGAGAGAAGAAACCGAGCATCATCTTCATCGACGAAATCGATTCGCTGTGTTCGAACCGGAGCGAAGGCGAGAGCGACAGCACGCGGCGCATCAAGACCGAGTTCCTTGTCCAGATGCAAGGCGTTGGCCACTCCCATGACGGCATCCTTGTGCTTGGCGCGACAAACGTTCCGTGGGAGCTCGATCCCGCCATGCGCCGACGGTATGCCGACGTTCTTCGTAAATACAAACCACGACCGAAGATCATGAGTGCGACGTCGGTGTAGGTTCGAAAAGCGCATTTACATTCCGCTCCCGGAAGTCGAGGCGCGCAAAGTCATGCTCAAGATCCACTTGGGCGACACCCCCCACAGCTTGAACGATGACGATTTCACGACGCTCGCCACCAAGGCGGAAGGATGCAGTGGGTCCGATATTTCCGTGCTCGTGCGCGAAGCACTCATGGAGCCGCTGCGTCAATGCCAGCAAGCCCAGTTCTTCTGCCGAGTATGCCACCTTTTGTTGAACAAGACCGAGGCGATGACATGGTGATGCGATGGAATAGTGCGACGATAAAGCAAGACCGACTCGAAATGGGACGTTCTTGACTCCTTGTGAAGACGACCCACCATGCCCGCACTGCCACATGAAGCTATCGTCGGTAAGATCACGAGGGTTGTGGAAGTAGGAGGGTCACATGTGGTGGCTCTGTTTAGTGCCCATCGAATTGCACGGGATGCAAGACGCCGTGCCAACGTTGTGGATCGTATCGCATGCGTCTGTACGACTTGCCTGACCGCGGGTTCAACGATTCGCAGCTCAAACCCCCCATGGTTTCCATGGTATGTAGCATATTGGCATTATTCCGTGGCACGATGGAAATTCATGCTTGGGCTGCCTAGACGAACTTCAACAAGGTGCTCGAGCACTCGATCTCCAGTGTCGCGCCGGAGGAACTCCACCAGTTTGTCAAGTGGACTAGCGAGTTTGGTCAGGAAGGTTAAGCAAGAACAACAACGCATATGCACACGCACTCCATCTTTCTACTCTTCCTTTGCTCGAGTCGTCCAATTCTCGCCCGCAAGACTGCGTCCGCCGTGCCATCATTCGAGCTCGTCGCAAAATTCTTGGTGAAAGATGTCAAAACGTTTGTTTCGAACCAAGCGTTTACAACTATCGAAGGAAAACACCCGTTTAAAGGGACTAATGAACGGGTATTTATGCTGTTTTTTATTTCGAGGTATGTTTCGAACATGAGAAATAGGATTGCAGCCGATCTTCTTTCACCACTGAGCATCGCCATGATGCGCGGCCGCATGGTGGGAGTTGTGCTCGCGAGCCTTCTGGTCTGTTGCCTCGTAGTGTTGTACATTGCGACGTTCATCTCGTCAGTGTCACCTACACCTTCACCATCACCGACGCCAACGGTGCCCTCCATGGCGTTCCACGTTGTTCAGGTTGGTTGCGATACTTCCGTTGTCGCGACTCATCGAGTTATCCTAGTACAACATCTTTGGTCGCCCGTACGCAGTGTCGAAGGACGGACAGGATGAGCGATTGCACCACATCCCGGCGTCCATCATTCACAACGTGTGTCCCATGGCCACGTGTGGAGGAGTTGACGTGGTGACATTTGCCGAAGCTGACATCGATTCCGAGCGTGCGCACATGCTTGCTGCATTTAACGACCTTGATTTTCGCCACCACACAACAGTCATCAGCGATACAGATCCGTTCACCAGGTATCACGTGTGCCATTCCCCCGTCTGCACGGTTGTGAATTGGTGGTTGGTAGTTTAATCAACGGTGGAGTTCTCATCGTGTCCAAGTGGCCCATACTTCGCGAAGCGCAGCACATCTACCGCAATGCATGCCACTACTCGGACTGCCTCGCCGCCAAAGGCGTCAAATACGCTCGAATCAACAAGACCGTCGGAAACACGTCCAAGGCGTTCAATGTGTTTGCTACTCACATGCAGGTACCCGCTGTCTCCCACTTAAGTAGCGACCGGCGAATCTAGGCCTGGTCGACACCGCTGGGCCGCGCCGACCGTGTCAAGCAGGCGTCCCAGGTGCGTTCGTACCACGTTCAGCGTTCCAAATCGTTGCAGCTCACGCATCGTTTGGTTTCAGTTTCACGAGTTTGTCGAGGCGCTGGAGATTCCTCACACCGAGGTATGACGGGTGGCCATGGAACGAGTGGCTAGAACGTGGCCGTTCGTAGCCGCTCATTTTCGCCGGAGATTTCAACGTGGACAACCATTCGTTTGCCGACGAAGTCTCGCACCTCATCCAGTTGCTCCATGCCACTGCGCCCGCACTTGTCGGGGCCCAACAGTACACGAGCGAGTACGTCAGAGAGAGTGACGTGATCGAGTTACAACATGACGTTATCATCCGCGGGGGGTCCCATCACGTGATTGTGACGATAGCCCACGAACCAACTTGTTGGTCGGGCGAGATGGCGCAGCGGCAGCCGAAGGATGCGTCCAGCAGTACATTGACAGCTGGGGGCCGCTTCATGTAAGTTCACCATCTTCTCTCCATCTCTCGCTTCGCCTCGGTCTGCATGGAATCCTCACGTCATCGAGCTTGCTATTCATATCGCACACGTTTAGAACCACACGTACATGCCATCGCACCTCACTCGCGTTCCTTGTCACAATCTGGCCGCCTCCGCCGCGCACAGCCGCTTGTCGCCTCCACTTCTTGAGGTCACGCCTGCGTCTGCCAGCGCTGCCACAGCAGCATCGTCGACTTCGTCGACAACCGTCTACCTTTCAGAATCTAGCTTGTGCTATTGTCCGTGTTGTCCATTAGAGTGGCTCGATTACGTTCTTTACGCCCAAGGTACCGTCGCTATCTCGAGCAACTCGCTCCATTCGTTGCATAGCTCCGTATGAACAACCGGTGGTGCCACCGTCCGTGGAAGCTGTCGTGCTTCAGACTCCGCCTGCACAATCTCTGGCCGTCGAGTGGAGCTCGCCCCACGAGAAGGGCACGTCGCTTCTGCTTCGAGACTACTCGGACCACTACCCAGTCCTTGGCAAGTTTGAGTTCCCCATCCATGATTCTCAACCCGTTTTCCACCTCGACGGGTGCTCCACCGACGACGACTGTCATTTCCATTCGTTTCGATGCTACTGCGAAGGCGCCGGGTGCTTTTTCCATGGCCGCCACACGTCTGGCAGCGATCTACCATCCACCCATCCCGTGAACAAGAACTGTTTGATGCTGAAAACCCGACTCGAATGTGTGTGTGGGCCGACGTAATGCGATCCTAAGAACAAAGAAGTGCTCTCTCCAGTACATAATGCGTCGAGAGGATGGCAAGTTGCGCGGGGCCACCACGTAGCTCGCTAGCGAAGAAGGCCAGAGCATTGTTGACAACAAACGCTCGCGCACTGTCTCCGCCTTCCGTTGAGCGCGACCACGTCGTGTCCGCGCCTGGAAGGTGTTGCTGGCATCACGAGCCATCAAGACAGCGCAACTCGCACCACTGCGAAGCTAAAGTCGATCGAGAGGGGTGGATGGCACGAATCTATAAGCACAGCACTCCCAACGAGCATGGACGACGATGCTGTTCGTTTCCTATGGCCTACCCGCCGGCCTTGGCACCTGTTCAAGAGCACTACGAGCTTGATATGCATGAATGGATAGCACATTCACGGGGACTTAATCGTGGTTTCGTCGCTTCGTTGGCGGTCGGGTGTCGCTTCTATCGCTGTCACTGGAGCTGTCGCTGCTGGCGCGCCGTTTCTTGGATGACTTTTTCATGGCTTTCTTGGCTCTTTTCGAGTCCTTCTTTCTCCTCTTTTTGCGATCGTCTCGTCTGGATGAGGTGGATTTTGACCCAGTGTCGTCGTCGCTCGAGCAGATGGCAGCCAAAGCTTGGGGGTTCAATCCACTGCCACTGTGCAATGCTGCGACGCTGCTGCTACTCCCCTTCGCCTTGTACGACCTTTTCTCGCGCTTCTTGTCACGGCTTTTTGCCAGCGAGTCGCGGTACTGTTCTGTGTCGGCGTCGAGCTTGGCCGCGTCCTGGGCCTTCTTGAGCTTCTCCAGCTGCTTCCCGACAAGATTGTCGTACATTCGCTGTATCAAGTCTGCCTTTTCTGCCGCCGCAGACCCCAACGCAGCCTTACTATGCTCCTTGCATGTGCCTGCAAAGCACCGCGGGCACGTCGAGTTCGACATCGCCGCTGTCGTCGAGCTTTGGGCAACGCAACCTCTCGAACCAACACTCTTCATTTTGTATGTGAGATGCTTCTGACTACAATTTATATGCACGCGCATTCCCGACCGTTCACGTCGTGGTCGGATGAAGAGCACGTCGAGTGACGGGGGGCCCGTCAACGTGCCATGCCGACACCTGCCGCAAGTCGGGGTCATCTATAATGGGTTGCCTCCGCGGCGGACTGCCCTCTTGGATCACCCATCGCCTTTGCAACGATGTTCAGCACTGTCGTCGCTGTGGTCCGCGATCACATACATCGCTTCATGGAATCGCCAGCAATGCGCCGCCCGACGTGCGGACATCGACGTCGATAGGACGAGATATTTCCATCCGATACTCACGATCGCACACATGCGGGAGGACTTGCCATGCCCGACGTCGAGTTGCAGTCAGCCGTTCGCTCGATATACCCGCCGCCACCTCTCATACGCATCATTTTGTTGCTGTACATGCAAGGGATGGACAGAACAAAATTCCTTTCGTGATAATGACCGTTCGATGGATTGCACGACGAACGCCTCACGTCGACCACCCATCGGGGTCGAGGACGGTCGAGAGAGACTGCTGCCGCCTTCGCCACGTCATCTTGTTGTCTTCCAGCATGGCGAAGCCAGCGTCCCGGCAGTCTGTCGTCGCCGCACGGACCCGAACGTTCGTGGCCATGACGTGGCGCGCTTCGTCCAACTCGACAAGATCGACGAGGGATTTGGTGGCGTGTCCCAGCATCGACGTATTCCGTCCACACACGACTTGGTCGGCACTGCGAGTCGCCGTCCGGTGGAGACGCGGGCTGTTGGCGGTGGACTGGGAAGAGGTCATGGTGGCGCTCACGACGCTATCGCTGCACACGGTGGCTGCCCCGTGCGCAGTGGACGACGTCAAAGCGCAGCTGGTGCAGATGCGCATGGCCTCTGACGTTCCCGAGACCTTGAATCTCCACATCTTGCTGCATCGGCCGCACACGACCTATAACGCCCACGGGTGTGGAAATCTCTTTGGCACACCGTGTCCAGCCTACGTACTTCGCCGCATTTTCGGCAATTGGATTTGTGGTGCAAGAGCCCAAACGATTGCTCGCACACGGCGCAGGCCGACCGCGCGTCCTTGGACACAAGCTCCGACGACGCAAGAAACGAGCCACTCTGGCTTAGCCTTTGCTCGCGCAGAAGAACGTCGATGGACAAGACACCGCGGCACCGCGCACGGACACCTAGCTTGCGAATCCAGTGTGGCGCATGGAGCTTCAGGTCGATCTGGACCAAGTGGGTGACTTCCAATACGCCCGGGCGATCCGTTTCCATGACAACGTGGCCACTGCGAACGATCGACGCGCGAACGAACCCAAGAAATTGGTTCAATGGCGGGCAACAGTTCAAATCGATGGACACCACCGACCGGATCCACCCCCGTCGGTTGTCGACCTCCATGTCGTGATGCGACTAGGCACTGTTAACACCGAAACTTGGACGAGAACGATTACCTCGAGCACGCAATAGTCCCGAGGGCTGATGACGCCCAGACCCTTGATTGGCGTCTCCATGACCATCCATCGCATGTAGATGGCATGGCGCGGACACTCTGGCGTCGGCTTGGCGACCGTGTACAGGTGATGGCTGTCTAGAACGTGCTTGGCAAGGTGGCAAGAGTGCTCTGTCGAGGGGCCGTTGGTCGCGTAAAACATCGCTGCAACTTCGTCGAGCGTGCCGTTGACGTCGGTGACGCTGCAATACGTGAGAACGTCGCCGGTCGAGTCGGTGTCGAGGCCAGAATACATGATCAAGCCAGGCTCATGCACGTCTTCCGTCCACTGGATAGGTCCATTGGTCCGTCGCGCGCAGATCGCAAGTTCCGTGGACGCACGTCGTGCGAGTTTCTTGAAGGCGTCCATGTCGGATGGCGCAAGTGGTGGGCATCGGAAAAAGTCACGAGGCAATGGGAGCTTGGCCGTCATGGCGAGTGTCGATGGCTGCGACAGGATCGACGCCGCGAGGACGGACCGTGAGAGATCGGTATGCACTGCAGCACCAGTTTGCCAAGCCACCGCCAGACAGTGACGCGCGTACGTGCACACGCGGCTAGGTATTGCTGGGCCGTCGCCGTGTCCCACCCAACAACCCACCGAAGAGGCAGCGCAAAACGTTTGTTATTCCCTGATTTTGCCCATTTCGATATATTTTTGAATGATATTTCACTGAAAAGTGCACAAAAATCCACGAGGGCACACCGAGTTCGCATGAACGACACAGTGCACGTGAACACTGCGTCCAGCCGACAACACACCTTCAGTCGTCGTTGTCCTGGCGGCCTTTTGGCTAGCCTTGCGAGTGGAAGCTAGTCGTTCCGATGGGGCACAATATCGTGGATCCCATCGAATCAAAATAATACGAGAAAAACATTTCGTTCATTGTTGAATTTCGTGGAAGTGATGGAATTCACGGATATTTTTTTACTAGTAGTATTTTCTCGGCCTTGTTGCAACTGCGATGCGGCCGCCGCGGAAGGTTCCCGCGCGGAGCAGACTGCGGCTGTATGAGGCAGGACTGGGTGCGGCTGACGCGCCATGGTGTTGACACTCTTGCCAACTACACTGTACTGTGTATGCGTTGTGGGAGCAGTTGGGGTTGTGCTCCCTGCAGCGAGCCGTCCGTGCGATTCTCCTCGACCTACCTATGGACTACTTGACGGGGCTGGCATGTGCCCGATGTGTTCGCGGGGGATAGGCTGCATGTACCACCGCCCTCTTTTGCGCCACAGGATGGTTGTCTCGCGCATCGACCCACGGGCTGCTCGTGACACTGTTGCAAACCGTGGGACGGTCGAGACCCGTTGGATGGTCCAAGTACCATACACATGGACCACGGACTGTGGTGCGGCGACTGCCCCGCAAGCGGGGGATGTCGTACCTTATGGATCGTCTAGGCTGGGCGAATTTGCTCGCCATGCACACGTCGAGTTGCTCCCAGGGTGCCCACTGGGACGATGCGAGGCGAGAGAATGGGAGCTAGAAGAACAGTGCGGTCCGTGAATGTGTGGAGATGAAGGCAGAGTAGAGGCAACGACCTCGTTGGGCGTTCTTACAAGCGGTCTAGTCAAAGCTCGTGGCGATGGTCGCACCGATCGCAAGACTGAGCTCGGCGAAGGTAGGGACCGCTTGCGCCAGCACTTCGGGCTTTTCGCGCGCGTATGTACGTACAGCATGCAAAAGCCGATCGGATACTGACGTCGCGGCAGGGAGTGGCTGGACAATCGACGCAAACTTTTTCAAGTCTCCCTGTCGTTGCCGCACTTCGGCTGCTTTCGACTGCGCCAGGTGCTGGGATATGCGTGCAACTTCCTCATTGCACAGGATGGCTTGCTGGCCCAGAGCCGCTCGACTGGTCGGCGACGTCACGCAGGCCTGTTGCTTGACCAGGTCCTTCGCTTGGACACTGAGTCGTCTGGCTTGGTCTTCCAACGACGTTCGCTGGGCTGGCGTGAGCACCACGTCCTTGTTGGCATGCAGTTTCAACGTTTCAGCCAACGCCTTGGTCTCGGCTTCCTTGCGCTCGCGCTCGGTCTTGAGCGCTGCAGCCGCTTGAGATGTTGCTCGCGCTGCGTGTTCAGCTTTGACTTGCTCGGTCTTTTTCAATTGCAATTCTCGGGCCTACGAATTCGTGAGGCGTCGCGGAGGTAGTCGAGATGGCTTCGGGCTCACCGCATCGACTGGGGCTGCGCTTTGCATCGCCGTCGCGGCTTGGCGCTGCGCCGTGTCGACCGCCGCAGCCTTGGACGGTGTGCTGGTGGTTGGTGGCTTTGACAGCTCGACCTTGTTCTCCTTCACATTGGAAAGTTAGGTCTGCCAAACCAGGAATCGATGCCCTTACGCCCTTTTTCGCCATGTCGGTATTGACGCGGAGAACCGCAGGCAGAACCTGGCGCTCAATGTGCTGCTCGACCTTCGCCAGCACTTCGATGCTGTTTGTCGTTGTTTTCGACGGGTCCTGCGACAGCAAGTTCGTGATGCGCTTGATATTTTGAAGAAACATCTTGAATCGTTCGTGGGTTTGAACAGCCTGTTGCGCGGCGGCGCCGGTCGCGCCTGCCGCAGGTTTCTGAGCCACAAGCCTGGTAAACTCACGCTGGGCCAGTTCCAAATCGTTCCAGTACTTGGCTTTGAGTTGCTTCAGCTTTTCCCAATACGCGTTCGTCTGGGAGTCGGCGACTGGTGACGGAGTGGCCGCCGCCACTGGCACTGCGGCGGGGGCTGCTGGTGTCGCAGGAGCCACCTGGATAGCATAGACCACGTCACGATCCTTGTGTTGGAGCAGTCTAGCAAACGAGCGCGACATAGGCATGCGCGGCACGATTCATTTTTGTATACCAGCCATCATGCAGCATGTGTCACGACGGCTAAACACCAGGAACGGATAATCGCTTACCGCCGAGGTATTTTGCTGGAGTAACGAATTCTGGCGTGCTAGCGCACGGGCGCGGACCTGGGCGGCATTGGCTGCTTCGACTTGGGCGTTCGTGACTTGGTTTTGCGGTGGGATCGTTGTGGGTGCGGCCACCGGTGGAGACGTCGCGGCGTTCGCGTGGAGCTTGGCCGTCAGGATCTGCTGGTGGCGTCGCAGCAGCTCTTCCGTCTTGGCCTTGTGCTCCTGGCTCAGTTTGTTTTGGGCAAGAATGTGTTGCTGCTGCAGCTGGGCAACTTGAAGGCGACGTGTCTCGGGAGGCGTATTTTGCGTCGAGTGCATGCTGGTCAGTTGGCTCTGCTCGACGAGCTGGGCCTGTCGTAAGCGCTGGAGTTCGTTGTGCTGTGTCGTGAGCACAGCTTGTTTCTGTTGCTGGAACTGCTGTTGTAGTTGATGGAGCACCTGCGTTTGGCCGGCCTACAACGTCAAGTGGTGTGAAGCCTACTACATCTAGACTTTTCGCACCATGAGGGGTGTGCTTGGAGGGACTACGGGGACGGCGGCGGCAGCCGCTCGCGCGGCCGATTGCTGCTGCTGTTGTCTCGCCAGGTTCAAGGCATGCAGTCTCTGCTGTTCTTGGAGCTGCTGTTTTTCGGTCGCAGCCTTTGCTTGGGCCTGGGCTGCAGCGACAGCCTGGGCGTGTTGCGCCTGCTGTTGCCGTGCAAGATTGAGTGCAGCCAGTTGTTGCTGCTCTTGCTGTTTTTTTAGCAGTTCAGCCTGCTGCATCAACATGGCTTGATTGTACTGCATGTTAGGTGCAGCTGCCATGGGATTTGCGTATTGAGCAGGCGCGGGGGTTGGGATCGATGACGGCTGTTGAATCGAAGCAGGCGCAGCGTCGGACGGAGCTTGTTTCTTCTTTAGTCCCGCCACTTTTTTCTCGAGTTTCGTCCAGTACGTCATCTACATGCGTGCCCATGAACCGTGCAACTTACGGTGCCACGCGATCTACCTTATCGGTGCACTGCATCCACAAATTCAGTTCAAACTTGGCAGCAGACTGCCACACCTTTTGCCGGTCGCTCTCTCCGGACAAACGAAGGAGTTCGACAAACCTAAGCACCCGTGAACCGACGTCAACTCAACGATTCCGCTTGGTATAGCTCACGTACATCTCCGTGATCTTCCCTGTGCGCATTTCCTGCGTGATTTCCACCCGCCATCCCGACGCCGCATCGTTCATCGGTGCAAACGGAGATTGTGCCCAAACTTTCGAATTGCGTTCGAGAGGTCGAATGAATTTAAAATACGCAATTTCGTTCCCCAGCGGTGGAATTCGTTTCAATATTTTAAAATGCTTTTCAAATACGGTCCTTTAAGTTCCTTCACAGTGTAAATACATTGACCACGAAGCGATGAGCAAAGTATAAAACTAAACTGAGGCGTCCACCGTGCACAAAAACTTGAGGATGGCATATTGGCCAAGCTGCTCCGCGATGCTCTTGCAATGCTTGACGTCGCCTTCCTTGCGATGGGCAACGAGGAACTTGACGATGTCCAAATGTCCGTGCCGCGTGGCGTCTTCTAGAGCCTTGGACGTGCATCCCTCGGTACGATGGGTGTGAAGGTACTCGACAACATTGAGGTGGCCATTCTTGGCAGCGGCATCCATGGCGTACGTCGTACACCCCTCGGTTCGATGCTTGTCGAGAAAACGAACGGCATCGATGTGTCCACGCGCAGCGGCATTGTTCATCGCGTAGATAGTGCAGCCTTCTGTGCGCTCAGTGTGGAGGTATTCGAGAACATCCATGTGGTTGTTGAGGGCTGCAAAGTCCATGGCATCTTCCGAGCAACCTTCGGCGCGATTTCGGTGGAGAAAGTCCACAACGTCGAGGTGGCCGTTCTTCGCAGCCACATTCATCGCCGCGTACGTGCATCCTTCTCTGCGGTGGGTGTGGAGGAACCGGATGATGTCCAAATGGCCGTGTTCGGCGGCGTAGTCGATTGCTTCTGAAGTACAGCCTTCGGTTCGGTACTTGTGCAAAAAGTAGACAATGTCAGCATGCCCATAGCACGCTGCGCAAATCATCGCCTGTTTCGTGCATGGGAGCTGCATGGAGTGAAAAAACTGCACGATGTCCATTCGACCATACCGGGCGGCGCAATCAAATGCTCGGGGAGTGAGGTACTGGCGTCCTCGACAGGCCAGCCACCGCTTGACGAGGGCGAGGTCATCTTCCAGAATCGAGATATGTAGGAGGAATCGAGGATCCAGTCCAAGCCAGTTGATGCCGAGATCGAAACCACCCGAAACCTTGAGCTTTGACGACGACCCCAAGATGGCAGCATATCGTGGCGGAAGCACGTAGTCGCTGAATTCCCGGTGCATCGCCTTCCATTCCTCCACTCGCGGCATCAGGTCACCGAAGAAACCGTCTTGGTAGTCGAACACCATGCAGAGAAGTGTCCTGTTCGTCAGGACGGCCTGCGCGGCGTTGCCTCGAGTCATCGCCAAAGCTTCATCCATGGCCAACTTTGCCTTTCTCTTCGTCGATTCCGGAATCATCGGACAGTACGTATCCGGATTATCACCTTGAACATCAAATGTTAGAGGCTTTCTCAAGTAGTTGCCGAGAGCTTCCATACGTGGAATCTGTGTGCACGTGTAGAGTTCTCCTTTGAGGGTGACAACGCTCGCTTTCGGTCGATATGCGATGTAACTTTGTTCCAATACGACGAGGGCCGTGCGAGCCACCTGAAGCAATCGATCGATTGCTCCCGAATGCATGGATGTAGAATTAGATACTATCTATATACAAGTTCATTTGGAATTTGTATTTTTGTACGGTTTAAGCACCCTGAAATATAATACAGCGCATACTCCAGCTTTCGTGAAATCAATTTTGGAGCTTACTGTTAATGTAATTTTGAAATCTGCACGAACACGATGGACCAAAATATTTTTTTTCGCGGTTGCGACTTTTACCAATCTCGTGGCAGGGTATGAGACGGTGTATGGCAAGGAGTGAGTCGCATGCAAGGCTGGACCGAGGGACGCAGTGCATTCACGTAACGAAGAGTAAGCCGATTCTAGTGCGACATGGATAAGCACAACGCTTCAAGCGTTCGTTGTTGATGGTGATGTTAAAAATGCGGTTAAAACTATCGTTGTTGCCGCTTAGTTGCCGCGATTCTTCTTACCCTTCTTCTTCTTCTTTTTGGACTTGGGAGCGTCGGTAGGACCTTCGTCGTCATCCTTGCCGGAATCACCTGCTTCCGCAGCTTCGTCCTTGATCGCTTCGACGGCGGGTGCAGGTGCAGCTACAACAGGTTCTTCGACGACGGGTTCATCAACTTCAGCAACTTCCACGGGCTCGGCTTCAACACCTTCGACAACTTCAACACGCTCGGCTTCAGCAGCATCTTCAGCAACTTCTACGGGGGCGAGTTCTTCAACTTCATCTTCCACGGGCTCGGCTTCAGCAACTTCAGCATTTTCCGCGGGCTCGGCTTCAGAAACTGCAGCCTCTTCCGCGGGCTCAGCTTCAGCAGCAACATCAACATCTTCCACGGCCTCAGCTTCAGCAACTGCAGCATCTTCCACGGGTTCGGCTTCAGCAGCATCTTCAGCAACTTCCACGGGCTCGGCTTCAGCAGCGTCTTCCACGGGCGCGGGTTCGTCAACTTCTGCGATTTCAGCAGCTTCCACGGGCTCGGGTTCGGCAACTGCGGCATCTTCCACTGGTGCAGGTTCAGCCACTTCGACTAACGACGTTTTGCGAGACACGGGATGCTTGGGCGATTCAACGGCAACTTCCATCGACGCCTTTCGAGATGACGCCTTCCTTGGTGACTCGACTGGGGCCTCAACTACGACGTACTCGCTGGGTTCAGCCGAGCCTGCAGAAGATTTACGAGACGAGGGCTTTTTTGGTGACGACGTGACGGATGGAGGGTCGACCGAAGACTTGCGCGACACTGGTTTCTTGGGTGAAGCAGCCACGAAGACGGGAGCTTCGACCTCTTCGATGACAGGAGAAGCGACGGGTGCAGGTTCAGGCACTTCAACCAAGGACATTTTTCGTGGTTTCTTGGGCGAGGCAGAAGCCTTGGGTGATGCCGTATTGTCCGCAGAGGACTTGCGCGAAGCTGGCTTTTTGGGCGAGAGGACCGCAGCTTCAGCGGTGGCTTTTCGCGAAGCAGGGCTGACTTCGTCGACGACTGCAGCGACGACAGGGGCGGCAACTGTTGCGACGCCAGTAGGGGCAGCCGCAGTCACAATAGCAGCGACTTCAACCACTTCCTTCGTAACCGCGGCGGCGGCAGGCGTTGGCACCTTGGCAGCAGCTTCAACAGAATTGGCAACTTGTTGTTCCTTTTCGGGGGAAGGGGACTGGACTGTCTTGGGGAGTTGAGGGGCCTCATACGGCGCGGGGATCGACCGTGCCTTGGGTGCCTCACGGGCTCTCACTTCTCTACTGGAGACACAACATGAGACGATGGCATTTCCTTCACAGCATGCCCTCATGCGAGCAGCACGTACTTGGCTCCCTTGGGGAGGAGGCGCTCCTTGGCTTCGAACCCGCCTTCGTCTTCCTTGGAGAAGCAGCAGCCCATCCGAATGCAATATCACGCACGGTTCACCAAACTCCAATCAATTTCACTTCGAAAATCTTTCATATGTGAAGTCACCTCGACTTTGCTGGGAGATTTTGCCCAGTTTTGGGCGACATCCCAATGTATCCATACAAAAGTCAAATGAACCACCTGGGACAATCGCCGTCAACAAAGACAACCGCCGGTCCATTGGGATTTTGGGTCTGGGTGGAACACGTTTTTTGCAATTGATTGGTCGGTCAATAGAATTTTATCCAATCCAAGTGCAATACAGCTGTAAAAAAACCCACGTGCGGCCCAGAACCGCCATGTCGACGACCTCGTGTTTTCACCTGGTTTGACGAAATGGCTCCCAAGGATGTAGTACTACTACTCAGTCACACTTGTTGATAGTAGTACTAAATGAAAGGTTACCTTGAGTAGTAGTTAGTACTTACTATTCCGTTGTCCCGTGGACACTGGAGTACACTGTACAGTAGTAGGAAATATTTCTACTACAGTGATCCCCCAAGTTTTGCAACACTTCAAGAATATACGTTTCTGAAGGCAATTAAAGAAACAAAGAACAAACAAGAATTCATTTTAAGAGACCATTGGATGCAGTTATTAAGTTGAGCAAGGTATTAATTTATACCTGTTCGCAAACCTTGGGGGACTACTGTACATACTATTCATATACTACAGTAGTACATATATAGTATTTTCCTCGAATCTCCCAGGGAAAGGATATTTGCGTGAAAAGATTTTTCCACAAAAGATTCAAGGTTGAAGTCGTCAAGGGAAGGTCGTGGACCATGCCGGACGCTGTGAAGCGCTTCGTTGGTGTCCTCGCATGCTGGATGTACCTTGTGGCAGGTTGGAGCGGAGATTTGAACGCGCTTTCTGGTCCCCGCGACATCTCTCTCAGCGAGTTTGAGGTGTGCCGCGCAGAGACGTTGCCCCTGCAAGCGGTGATCCTTCCGCCCGTGACGTACAACGTATCCCTCTTGCTAGGCAGCGATATCTCGTTCAATGAGTTCGTCGACGCCAAGCCGATCATCTTCAACGCGCTATCGACGTTGACACAGAAACCGCTACCTACCATCGATGTCCTCGCGGTGCACACGTCCGCCGTCAACGCTACAATGCCGAGTCCACTTGTCGTCGACGTGCAATTCACGCTGGATACTGTGTGGCGATGCATCTCAGGCACAAGTGCCAACGTCGTCGTGGGGGAGATCTACGGCGGCGCGTCCGCAGACGACGCGTTGGTTCCATGTATTACGTCCTTCCCGGTACGTCGCTGCAACCCTCGTCCAGCCTCACGTTCCTTCTCTTGGTGCCGTTTCCAAACAATAGGCGTGCTCAGCGTCATGCCGAGTTGAGCAAGGCATGCCTGCATCCGTCGAGGCACAACGCCAGGAGATTTGGACTGCGCTGCATTCGACTCTCTTTCAGCCATCGCTGGGTGCAAACTTGTCCTTGGCGACACTCAAGGAGTCGGTGGTCTTGTTTCCGTCATCCAATGCGAGGGACCCCATTACGATCGGCACAACGCCTGCATACTCGTCGCTGCAGCGCCAGCCGTACGTAACCCTGCGTCTGGCGGCAACCTGCCACATCGACAACCTCACACTTGATGCGACCACGGCCACCTCCCGGCCATGCAACGGCATCGACGCCCAGTTCTTGGCGTTTGCACTTTTCGACACGTTTGATGGTCACCTGGCCCTGCGGCCACACACGTTTATCGTTCACGCGCCGGTGTCGATCCGTTCCGAGGTGTATCGGATGGCATCGTCCGTCTTCGTTGTCGACGTCGCCGCAGCCGTCGACCGCACGCACACGCTTGTCCACCAGTTTCTGCAGCAATCGATGGGCCAGCTTCGGTCCCATCTATCTCAGTCCAACGTACGTTTCCATGCTCTTCGATCTTGTTTCGTCAGTGTGGGCTCCATTTTGTTCTCTCAACAACAAACGCGATCTCGTGTATCCAAGTGTTGCGGGCCGTGAGTCGACACAGTCTAGACTCACGGGCGACCTTACATTGCTTAGCCGACGATGGCCCTGCTCGCGATGTCCATCGATGACGTGACGTCGTGGCAGCCAGTGCCTTTACCGTCGTACTCGAGTTCCATGCAGTCCTTTCTCAACTTGACCTTGAGCTGCCCGTGGAATGTGTCGATGTGGACGAAGGGAATGCCGCTCGTGATGCGGGCATTGCAATATGCATCTCTCCCCGTGGCCATTCAAACGTACGTCCTCGGGGTGGTCCACCTATTTCATGTTCATCCCAAAACGCCATGGCTCTGGTTCAAGTGACTTCACCATGCTGCTGTCTCTCTCTAGCCATCCGTCGTCGGGCTTGCCGCTCTACGTCGAGATTCCCAACTCAACTCTGTCCGCCAACACGACCACGACAAGGTACAACGAATGCCCCCAAGATGTAGCCAAACAAACCCTGTCGTCCACTGTCCTCGGCGCATCGATTCGAGCGTCGATTTTACTTGAGGCCACCGTAGAACTGTGCTGTTTCCGCTGGTCGCACGGGTCGACGCGGTGACGAGCATGGGGCTCACGGTCGAAATGAGCACGCAGCTGGGCCTGGTCGACACTCCATTGTACTGCAACTTGGCACCACGCATGTCGCTTCTTCCGCCGATAGTGCAAACGGTACCAATCCTTTCTTCTCCTGGGCATGATGGCCGGACATTTGACTCGGACGGTAGTCGCCGCCAGTTGTCGCGATGGTGTACGTGGAGGTGCAAGTGCCGGTGTACAACTCGTTTGTGTCGTATTGGCTTGGTCGGGCCATCGTGGCAACAGTCGCGCCGCTCGGGGTCATGTACGTGGTGTGTGTGGTGCATGGCTTGGAAATGGTCTCGATGGCCCTTGTGCTTGGAATCCAACACAAGGCGGCCCTTGCTGGTGGTGATCTTGCCAGGGACCGCCACAATGTCGAGATGGTCACGAATCGGTGCATTTCCCCAGGGAGAGCGACGTTCGGGTGCACCACGTCCAAGTCGTAGCGGGGACTGAAGTCCCCACGGTCGAAGTCGCGTTTGAGATTGCGTGCGCGACCCAGGCTCAAACGAACGGTGCGTCGGCGGTCGGTCGAGTCGACTGAGGCGCGGATGGTTGAACCGTCTCGTTGGCACCATCCGCCATGCCCACCCCGTGGCCATATTCGTGTCATTCTGGACCATGCGATGCTGATCGCACGACCATAGGCCTTGGTGTATTCTTGGGATCGTCGGCATGGCCATTCCACGTCGATCGGTTCGTTACGCCCAACGTGAATCAGTCGGCGGTGGTCCATTTGCGATGGCAAGCGGCCACGCCGCCACCAACGACCATGTACCCTGGTGTGTCGTCGCCAGGGCTTCGTCCACCGCTCATCGGGTGCGATGCCATCATCCACACGACAACGTTTTCTCGACCACCCAAGCGGTACCAGTACTTGGCCCTGCAGTCTCCGTCGTACGGGCCTCCGCCCAACGTGATGTTTCAAATCTCGGCGGCGGCCGAGTTTGGCCAGAATCCATTCTTTCTCGGTACGTGATGGCGCGTTCGAGTGGGAGCGTTCGACGGCGTGTTTGGATGGACTGCGCGGGGACGTCTACCTGCCTCCTGTTGGTTTTCGTGCCGAGCAACGCAGTGATGCACTCTGTCGCTCCTGTTCCTAGACAAGATGTCGTCCCGCAGCGACGTCCGCATGGCCATGAACGACGACGCGGTGGCCGCGATCGTGTCGTCGAGTCATGTCACTCACTGGACGTTCTATACACCGCCCGACGTGATGCTGGACACGCTGCAAGTGTGCCTGTACCTCGAGCAGGTGCAGTCAGTCAGCCCCACCACCGATGAAAGTCGCGCCGCCGCCGCCGTCGTCGTGTGTGTGGAGAGTGTACAAGGCGCTGCCGTCCACGTTTCGATTCAAATCGCGCAACCGCACCGACTGGCAGCGTCGCATTCGATCGTCGGCCTCAACGTGGTGGTGTTAACTCTGTCGAACGCCGTAGCCTCGACAGACCCGACGCACGCCCTTGTCCCCGTCCACAGTACGTACGTCGCTGCTGACACGGTGCGCTGACCATCCACAGCGTGGTGTTCGTCGTGCCAGCAGCACTTCGCCGCGTGCCGCGACCAGCCCGTCTGCCGCGAATTCGTCATGGGGTGCTTGCCTCGCCAGATTTGGACCACGACCGCGCTTGGGGCAAAGATTCCGTGGGGGCGCGCTTACTTTGCGACACTTGCAGAAAACGAGTTCTTGACCCACTTGTCGATTCTCGACGGCCTCGACGCGTGCTTTCACGAGTCGCTGGCGCAGGTTCAAGCTGTTCAAACTCGACGCTGCGGCTGATTCGTTCGACAGGCTTCGAATGCGTCGACGGCGACTCGCTTCCTTGGGAACCAAGCCGCCGACGGTGCAGCGCTGGCCATGGCCATGCTCCATGCGTGGGGCTTGTACATGCAAGGACTTTCGTGCCTGGCCATGTTCCAGTGCCCTCTTGGCGTCCAGTCGCTTCCAGTACGCCGCCCTCGCGCCACGAGAGCCAACGCTGCTGATGTGTAGCAAAGTACGCTGACGTACCCGAGCGTTCGCCTCGGGCGCAGCGTGATTCAAGATGTCGTTGCCAACGTCCAGCTTCCTACCACGCTGGTGTTTACTTCTGCCGCCACGAACAGGACGCTTGTCTTTGCTTGGTTTTTCGTCCTGACGCAAGAGCTCCTGCGAACGACGCTCTTGGCCGCGGTACAATGACCTCCCCCCCTGACGTGTTGGAATGGCCAAAGTTGTCTGGCGTGCGCTCGACGACGTTTTTGCTGCCTTTCGACGAGCGTGACGATTGCCAGCCATGCATTTTGGTTTTGTGTGCATGGAATGCCTCCCCACATTGGCCCTAGTGCGCTGACGGACGCCTTTGACGTAGTTCTACCCGGGGTTGGACCCGCAGGTCGCGCCGTTTGTCGGCGTGAGTGTGTACACCGCGCCGACGGGCCAAATCACTCTCTACATGACGTACACGTTGCTACCATGCGTGGCGACGCCGCCAACGTTGCAGGATGCCGAGCGGTCGATCCCGATTGAGCCAAGTGCGCTGATTTTTCCCACCTCGTCGTGGCCGCGAATGGAAGACACGGACGACACCGGCACGTCCTCTTCACTCGTCGGTGGGTTTACTCGGGACGACGTCGCATGCCACGATCGCGGTGTAGGCGGATTTGACTACCTGACTTCGTATGGGGTATGCCCTGCATACGACTTGGCGTCGCCGCTCCAAACCACGCCGGACCTGCTCTACTTGAGCTACGTCAACACGACCCTTGAACCCCACGTTCCCCGCCTCATCCGGTCCTTCTTTTTCGACGAGCTCTCGACGTGCGTGGGGGGCATGCCAGGCGTAGTCCTCCAACGCGAGATCGACGCCATGCTGAACGATCCCCGGTGCGCCTCTGTGTTTGCATTTGACTGGCACGCCGTCCATTGGAACGCCACAACCTCGTCGCCCGACCAGGACGACTACACGACGAAAATATGCCCCATGTATGCCGCAGGTACGCCGCGCTTCGACAGCGCCGAGCCGTGATGGGTGCTCCACATGCAGGGAGACCGTGCTTTCGCGACACTTTCTTGCCTGCCATGGACAGACTTCTCAGTCAATCGGGTACGCGACTTTTGCGATTGTCGTGCGCCTCTGCCGGGCTCGCGGTGCTCACGAAATGGGCGCAGGTGGCTGTTGTGACTCGTTTGTGGCTCAAATGCAAGCCAACTTTGGTCTGTCGCCGACAGCGTTCGTTGCAACGGCGGTGGCGAAAGCGATGGACGTGATGTGCTCTGCGTCGACGTGCACAGGCACGTCGGTGCAATTGTGCGGCGCTCGCACGTTCCAGCAGCTCACGAGCCCGTGGATTGAACACGTACGGTTGGTTTGTGCGCTACGTGATACCGACACGCGGGGTTTGCATAGGCGTTGAAAGCATTCCAAGTGCATGAGGACCAAGCATGCGCTGCTGCAATGGGCCAAACGATCACGACGTTCTCGGGGGTGTCTGGCCCGTTGTACACTGCGTCGTGCCCCCTTGGAGGATGCATGCGCCACTGGGATGCCCTCCTGACTTGGATCAAGTCGTTCCCGATCTTGGCGACGTACCCGACAGGTACCGTCGCTGTGCACACGCCCGATGGTTCATCGTCGGTGGAATAGATGGGTTTCGTTTGATCGATTTGTTCGAGGCACGCGAGGGAGTCGACGGCGCGCTGCTGCTCGGGTTTTGGAACGACATGCTGGTGCGGTGGCACTCGCACGGCCTCGTGTACGTCGTCCATTCAGATGGCATCGTCAACATCTCGGCGAGTTGATGGCTACGATGATGGCTGCGTGTCCCGCATGGTGGATGAGCTGTGTATTTCTCGTAGGTGGCCGATCCTCGACGCTTGGACGTCATCGTTCTACTCGAACCTTGACTACGTGTACACGAATTGGATGGCTGGCCACAAGTTTTACGTCGCGACCAACTTTTCCACGTCGTGCGAGGTCGAGCCGACGGCGCCGTGGCACGTGACCGTGGCCGCGTCGCAGTGGCAATGCGTTCTCTTCCCAGGCAACGCCACGGCATCGAGCGTTCTGTTGGTGCGCGTCGCGGATCGCAACACGATTCAATGCGTGGCCAACCAAACAGGGCCAGCCAGCCCCACCGCAGTCGCCCCCTGCTCAACGTTTGCCCATGTCGACGCGTGCTACAGCGCCACGGCCGCAGTCAACCCAACGTCGCTCTACACATGCTCCGACGCATCCCTTGTCGATGCGTCCACGTGGTGCGGGTACACGCGGCGCCTCATGGACCGCACGTCGTGGCATTGCGTCGCATCTCCGTAAGTCGTACCTATCGCACCTGAATGTGTTTGAGGCCCGCATTGTTGGCTCATTTTCGTTTGTGGCGTCAGAACGTCGTCGTCTGAACAAGCGGCGATCGTCGCGGTCCGGCTGGCCAACGCGACTGGCGACGTCGAGTGTCTCCAAAGTGGCTGGGCCGAATGCCAGACGTTCCCGTCCGTGGCAGCGTGCGCCGACGCGATGCAGTTTTACACGCCACGATCGCTTCAAACGCTTCGGTGTGGCATCGATGGTGTCAAATTCTTCGGACACGCCGGGTATTTCGACCCCACCCACTGGTGCGCTGTGGCCGCAGCCTACTTTGACCTAACTCCGTCCATCATGTGGCCGCCGTGGCGCTGCACGGCCGGTGCTGGCGACGACATCCTCGTTGCAAGAGTCAACAAGGACAACGACGCGGAATGCTGGAGCTCCAACAAGTACAATTGTTTGTGGCTCCCGAACCTGACGGTGTGCGACGCCACGTTGCGCAACCTGACCAAGGCCGCGGCACTGGCGCCGCTCAGCTGCGGCCGCGTCTACAACACGATGTGGGGCGAACCAGGGTATTCGAATCCAGGGCACTGGTGCGCCAAGGTCGCCCGCATGTGGTCGTTGCAGCACACGCCGACGCCATTCGTGTGTGCGCCCGTATCGAACCCACCCGTGGTGGTGTACGCCGTCCGGCGAAACTCCATGCGCCACGTCGAATGCTTTCATGGCATCGACGTCGAAGGATGCGCGGCGTTCGCGACCGTCCAAGAGTGCCAGGATCAAGTCGCGTTGCTTGAGAGCGGTGGAGCCGCGGCGCAGACAACCACGTGCTCGTCGTACTCGAACCTGTCGCATTGGTGCGTCGCCGCACAGTCCGCGATCGATGCGCCGACCTACGTCGACGTCCCGCCAGGTACACATTGCCACGCCTTCTCCAGACCAACTCTTAGTGTTCGACCGCAGTGGGGACGTGGAATGCGACGAGGGTCTTGCCGCAGCCACACAACGCTTCGACCGACGGCTACGTTGACCTGAACGACTGGCACCCGTCGTCGTTTGCCTATGGATGGTGCGAACGATCCATGCGACGACTTTCCATGATCAATGCACACGTAGGTACGATGGCGTGTTTTGGCGGTTCCTGGGCGATCGATACCAAGGCACCCCGTGGACGTCGCCAGAGGACACTGCACCGACGTACGACATCCCGTCGAGTCTGGACTGGGGAGTGGAATCGACTCGGGTCCTCCTGCGCATCCCGTCCGTCGGCGTCCTGTTCTGCCGAGGA